TCGTACAAAACAGTTGCAAAATGAGCAAAAATATACCGTAAGTTACAAAAAATAAGTAAAACTATACCAATGTCGTAGAATGCCAAAATCAAATGAAAAAAGACGAAATTGTAAGGAAATGAACTTGAAGATTAGATTATTCGCCAAACCATATTCTGTCCCATTTGTTCAACCCTCATGACCACATAGATTTCATAATGAAAACTAACTTTTTTTTTGTCTAAAACTTTTTTTTTATTTGCACGCGCGCATCAGTTTTGGGGCTCCCGGAGGATGTCATCCATATAACATCAACATGGCCTAAAGGAAAAATAAATCAGACAGCACCAGTCTTCTGCTAGTCTTCTTATTTATTCCCTGGTGATTACAAGGGCCAGTTTGTGGTTCCACAGTCAGCATTGGACCAAGTAAGTAACGTACAAGCAGTGCCTTACTGCATGGAAATCATGGTACCCGATCTCCTACTCCTACTAAAGCAGCTCAACAAACAGATTCAGGTGGCACCTCAATGCTGTAAATATCCTTGCAAGTTTTCCTTAATTTAAATCAGAGTAATTTAGATTATTGACCACACCAGCTGCCTTTACAATAGGTGCCACAGCCCAGCTGAATATATCATTAATACAGAGACTTTGGGTTGTAAACCTAACATCAATGTTACGTAGTATAAAGGCACATGTTTGATTCATATAGCATTGCAATCTGTATGTACTAAAGCCTCAGATAGTGTATAACTCTACTGACACAACCTATATACTTATAGAGATAAAGAACTTGACATATTCACTGATTATTAATGGAGTTTTTGAGATAATTTGTTCTCGTGTGTCATGCAAGATTGGCCACACAATATGCATGGATTCTGCCCTTCAACTGATTTTTAAAGAAGAAATATTTTTCTGACTGTTAGCCCATCCATCTGCAGACCAATGGCTATAATCATGTAAAATGACATCGTTCATGTTGGAATTTGTCTTTCTGTACATTGGGGAACTGTAACAATGTCTTTCATCTGGAACTTTCTTTATACTTTTACCATTGTCAAAGATCCAGAGGGCCATTTCAAACCCCAAGGAGAATTCTGGGATATGTTTTGTACAGCACTGTCAGGGCATTTGCGGGACGTTAAAGTCAATATTTTCAACTGTCCACCCCTCGGCTCTGCACAGCACTCATCTTTCTTCTTTAGAATTTCACCTTACTTCAGCCAACCTGGCTGCTGAAAGAAAATCCCTTAGTAAGACATAGATAAACAAGCTGGAAGAAATCTATTCTCAAACAAAGTAGCTGTGGCTTTTCTCATATCAGTGCTGATACAAACATTTTACAGTAAAAAAACAGGCCTTTAAAAGACCAATTACTTTCACTGACTTTGTAGGAGTCTGTCATCATGTGGACTGTACATGTAATCCTTCCTTCTCCTTTCAATACAGAACTGACACAGAAGTGATTCTGACTACAAGAAAAGTTCAGTTGGTTGGACTGGCCTAGCATGACACGTTTGAAAACGATGACATCTATATTGTACAATCCCTTATGTGCTGCCCCTAATGTTGATATCGTTATGTTCTTGTGCATTAATTTCTGTCATTAAATCTGGCATAAAGACTTTTTTCAATCATATATCTCATAGGATTTTCCTCATTGATCTAATGGTCATAGTGAGTGGTGATAGTTGGGGGTTACAGACATTTCTGTCACTCTACCCCTACATTGCTATCAGACGGACGTGCTACATTATGCTGGGGTTGGTTTATTGGTTGGTTGGTTGGTTCACAGCATGCCGAAGCCCTTGGCGTGTGTGATGGCCTTCAGCAGCCGTTCTCGTAACTTGTCCTTACTGGAGTACTCGGGGAGTAACAGCACGTTGAAGCATGTGTGAGAGGTGGGCAGTCTGGGGGGAATATAAACATGAGCTTGGGTTAAATATATTGAATCTCATCTTTCATAACATGACGTTGCTACATTCAGTCAAAAACAATAACTCATGTAAAAGGTATCATGATCTGCAAACATGTGCTTACATCATTGCAACATACTATACATGCCAAAATGTCAGCATTTAGCTTCACTGTATGTATAGTGATAACAAAGCCAAGCCAACACATGTATAGGGCTTTAATGGTTATACCATGAGAACTCAAATTTTACCTATGCTAATTACCTGCACATACACTGTCAGATAGCAAACTCTATTGTACGAATGAGGTACAGTGCACGCATGGCAAAGGGTTTCATAATTTAGCATTTAACAATAATTAAAAGCTCTTACAGACTACTAACTACCCACTACCTTACAGCCACCAAATTACTAAATACTGTAAATTCATCTAGTTTCCTGTATTTAGTACTAAAAAAGCCCCCTCGGGAGACATATAAAATACAACACGGGGTATTCCATATCGCCCGAGGTATCGGCCCGACCGCGGGTCGGATAGCCCGACGGCCAAAGGCACCGTGTTGTATTTTATCTATGTCATACCCACCCAAAAAAACACGCCTTTCAATGCAAGATGAGCCAAAAGTTGGTACCACTAAACCCTAAAATGCAACAACATCAATTCCAACATCCGGATTCTGTATTCGAATTTTCGAAAGTGGCGCACACGGTTAGGGCGAAACACGTTCGAATTGTTCTTTGGAAGCCAGGGAGCCCGGGCCGTACCGTAAAGTACGGCCCGGTCGGGAACCCGTTATCAAAAGTTATCGCGGCCCGGGTAAGATATAAAGAATGTTCTACCTGTCTGAATCTGGCCCATTCCTGGCGATGACCAGTTTGAGTTTGGACAGCCCCCCCACAGGAACCCTGTCACTGCCGGTAGCAAACATCAGTAACTGTTTCTTCTCATCCTCACTGAACCCGTGAACCAGCTCCCAGAAGTCCCTGGGGAAACAAAATGGTATCCTTGTAGTTGTGTGAACCAATCACAAGCTTCCATACATATAGCCGTAACGTCTTAACCATGGGTTTATAAAGAAGAAAGGTAGTGATTGGCCAAAAATGCACACTTGTGAACCAATCACAAGCTTCCATACATATAGCCATAACATCTTAACCATGGGTTTATAAAGAAGAAAGGTAGTGATTGGCCAAAAATGCTCACTTGTGAACCAATCACAAGCTTCCATACATATAGCCATAATGTCTTAACCATGGGTTGATAAAGAAGAAAGGTAGTGATTGGCCAAAAATGCATACTTGTAGGGAGGGGGGATTTCAGTAAGAAGGTATCAGCACGTCGGCAGAACGTACATACTGTGCCTGCGCAAAAACGCCCATTTTTCACAGTTTTCGTTGGATTTTTTTTGTCAACGTTGCATCAGAATTTTAGTATTAATTAGTATTTTAATACATGTATTAGAAGACGGAGTGTTCCCTTATATGCACAAATACAAATCATATGAGACGTTCTGCCTAAGCGCTATGCACAATACATTACGGGTTTAGCTCAGGTGCAGTACGTTATGCCGATGTGCTTCATAATGTAAAATGTAAGATCCAGCATATTTATAATTTATATATAGACAGTTCCTTACTTCACAGTTTGGGAGTCTCTAGTGAAGCCTCCGTCATAGTCGGTGCTCTCTTCCAGTGCCTTGAAATCAAAGTCCTGTGGGCAACAACACACAGTCACACCATCAACCTCAGCTCCTTGTTTGTTGGTCTTTCACATATACTTTCAACTGTATTTTGAATGTTTAAAAAATCTTTTACAAACCTAAATAATACACTCAACAAAATTCTCTGAGCTTGTACAGGTCATACGAATGTTCTTGTAATTATGATGCCTCGTGATATGAAATAGAGTGTATTTGCCATGATTTTATGTCAACTGTCTTCATACCATATGCTCTGTCTTGCATTATGTTCTTTCAGTAGTTTCAATTGCAAACTTACAACTTTTCCTTCATATCAACAATATGCTAATTCTAAAAGGTAATACTTTTTTTAAAGGCATCCAGTGCAGTTTTTAGGGCTTGGAAAGCAGATTTTTCAAAGTCAATATTCTAGTCACTTATCTATATACTAAGTTCAAACAACACTGTCCCAATGTATATTTACATTCGTCGATGAAGGTTACACATCCAGGTAATACGATACGCCAAAAAGCAGTTACTCAAGCAACTGGATATGATTTTGAAAACGTCAGACGTTTCAGCTAGTATCCACTAGCTTTAGCCTGTGAGAGACTGAGAGACCAGAGGGGAAATGCAGGTTTATAAGTTACCTATTGATTGATATGCAAATAAAGTGAAGACAAATTTTTGGAAGTCGAAGTTTTGCATATCAATCAATAGGTTGTGCTTATAAACCTGCATTTCCCCTCTCGTCTCTCAGTCACTGACGAAAGCTAGTGGATACTAGCTGAAACGTCCGTTTTCAAAATCATATCCAGTTGCTTGAGTAACTGCTTTTTGGCGTATATTGACATTCATGGAGCAACAGTGCCCAAAGTTCCGACGAAAAACAGTTACTAGTACTAGAAGGACCTGGGTTGATTTTTAAGGGTACCACCCAGAAAATAAAGAATTAATCTTGGGGCTTGTTTTAAATGCTTTAAGTATGAAATACTGATTCAAATGTGCTAATGTGGGGCAGTATGTGTCAATATCATACAGATTACCTTCTTCAGAGTATTTCCAGTTTTGCCACCCTGAAATTGCATTGGATGCCTTTAAACAAGGTTTTTTTACAGTTGCTAAGAAAACCGTGCCTACCGGACATCCACAGATGAGCAGTTCTATCTCCTCAGGTCGGAAGAACTCTTCCAGTGGGGACTCGTCCGTCACCATGTGGAATCCCTGCCGGAAGGCTGTGAACTGCTTCTCCACGGACTTGTTCAGGATGTAGTCTGCATACAGGTCCACATATTCCTGCAACAGGCAGCACAGGGAGCATTAAAACATGGAAAGCTGCAACATGAGGTTTGCAAACTCTCTAATACAAGTAGTTTGATGTTCCAGGGATGATATAATTATGACAATGATGGAAAAGCCAACTGCTTACTGGAAGTGTAACAATACATAGATAACAGACATATTCAGGATGTAGTCTGCATACTAGAAAGGTAACATTTGTAAGGCAAATGCAAAATGTTTACCTTCGCATATGGTTTGCTCTGTTAATTCTTACTCAAACACATTCATATACTAGTATATGGTGACAGGAGTCTAAATCCTGATACAAAATTGCAACATTATGTAACCAAACACCAGTCACCATGGTGACAGAAGTCTGGTTCAGGTCATTGACCTTATTTGTTTGGAAAAGAAGAAGAGGAAACAGAGCAAAAACAATATGTTTTCCTTTGGTAAACATAACAAGTTTACACATTCCTGGAACAGGCACCACAGGAATTGTTTTAACAAAGCAAAGCAACAAGATTTATGTACAAAATATTATCATACAAATTCTCCTGGCTGTTTTATACATGTACAATAAACAGTGGATTACAACCTTTTCCAGTAACACACAATTTAGGAGAGTGACAACAACCAGCATTTAGATTTTAACACTTTTTGTAAAGAAGCCTAGGGTCACTAACCACTAGACCATGTGCACTCTACTAAAGGAAAGTTTCTCAGTCTGACCTGTCTGTTGTCTACAGTGACAGGCACATTGTTGCCGTTCTCTTTCAGCTCGTGTGTGGAGCTGCCGCCAAACAGGTCCGACATCCCCACACAGAAGGTGGCCATGAAGTCTTCCTCTACATCTCCCTCATACTCCAACATGCTCTTCAGACTTTGGTGCAACACCTATAGGAACAACACAGAACATGGCGATCAGAGATGGCAGACTTCACCCCCTCCCTCATACTCCAAACACAGAACATGGCGATCAGAGATGGCAGACTTCACCCCCTCCCTCATACTCCAACATACTCTTCAGACTTTGGTGCAACACCTATAGGAACAACACAGAACATGGCGATCAGAGATGGCAGACTTCACCCCCTCCCTCATACTCCAAACACAGAACATGGCGATCAGAGATGGCAGACTTCACCCCCTCCCTCATACTCCAACATACTCTTCAGACTTTGGTGCAACACCTGTAGGAACAGCATAGAACATGGCGATCAGAGATGGCAGACTTCACCCCTCCCTCATACTCCAACAAACACTTCAGACTTTGGTGCAACACCTTTATAGGAACAACATAGAATATCGTGATCAGAGATGGCAGAACATACAGAAACTGCACTGCTCCCTCTGCCAGAACATACAGAAACTGCAATGCTAAAACACTTCCTAGCAGTATCTAGAATGGACATAATATTTGGCACAAGTGCATTTCTTCAAAAGAAAACAAGTAAAATCTGAGATTTTATACCTCCGGGCTTTTTACTGTATATTTTTATATGTTGTTCACAACAACAATTGTTGCGCACCGCAGGACTAGGGTTTTAAACAAAGAATTTATCGAGACCAGACACCCCTTTGTGCGAGGGGTCACCTTCGTGGACGAGACCGACAATACCTAATACACGCCAAAGGTCAATGGTCGCAACCACTTTCACGCTCAAAGGGGTGTTCTGGGGGCACCAAAAGGCACCATTTTCCCGCCCGAAAACACATATACAATAAAAACAAAAGAATGTGCATCATCTGCAGCCCAATAGCAAGACATATACGGAGTCTCAAAAGAATCCGTCCACCCAAACGCGAGAAACAGCTGCGAACATGAAAATCTAAATCTCTCACAAAACCCTTCCGCGGAAGGATGTCTCCTCCCCTGGAGGTAATAAAACAGTTACATTATCTTTATCAACATCACAGTACTTACAGGATGGGAGTCTTGCAGGTCTAGAAACGTTCCTTTCTTAGCCATGAGTTTGCGGTAGACCACCATGGGGAAGTGGACATCTAGGATGACGTTGTTATAGATGGCCAAGCCTAGCACAATGCCGATGAGTTTGAACTGGGCGTCTGTCTCAAACGACGAGGGGTTGAACCAGTACATGTGTGTCTGGTCATCGTAGATAAACATTCCTGTCAACAAACAACAAATTTTTTTAAAGTTCTATGTGAGGGAAAGTTCATGGTCTGTCAAATTTACAATTTCAAAATCAGTCCTCAACATATTATTATACAGAGTAAGCCTGAGTTGGAAAAATAAACTCTGATTGATGTGAGTTGTCATGATGTCCAAATACATTTACATTTAACTCACAGCTCTTCTAGAATTCATCTGTATCTGTATCGCCGCTATATGGCTATTTCTTGTTCTCTTCTGGGCTGGTATTAGGTACTTAGTAGTTGGGACGTCCACCAGTTTATTACTCATTTTGTACATCATGCACAGTCTGGACATTTTTCGTCTGTATTCTAGTGACACCCACTGTAGGTGTTCATTATTGCAAGAAAGGTTATTTTATGCTAGAAACAGTTTATACTTTTCCAGTTCTGCCACTTACTACAAATGTTTATGAGGAGGCTGATGTACAGTACATGTACTTACCATAGTCTGCATTGAAGATCTCTTCCACGACCAGCTGAAAGAACTCCTTGGACACTCCCCCCTCGTCTATCCCCTGCTCGCCCTCAAACTCCACGTACAGCTGCTTCTTCAGGTCAGCCGGGTTCTCCATGGAGATCATCTCCAACTGTATTTGTATGTTAATTTGTATTTATGTGTATAGTTACTACGTGAATTTGTATTTTGTACTTTTGTTGTTAACGAGACTTGAAAGATTAGCTGCATAAAAGGGCTAATGAGTATTTTAACAAACTCAACAGACGGTCAAAGTCAGCAGGGGTACAAAGGTCAAATACAACCAAAACAACATGAAGCTAACTACTCATAACTTAATAAAAGGAACAACAGTCATCACAAGTAAACAGTCAACAATCAATAAAAACACTAAACAATAATAATGGAAGTCTATTACCTACCCGAACAAGAGCATCATCGATGATGTGGTCTCTGCGTACCCTTAGTTTGAGATACGGCTGTACGACTTGTCCCTGTACCAGGCTGTACAGCACCGTCATGCGCCGCTCGCTGAACATGCGTACTCTGTTGTCGTAGTACAAGGCCAGGCTTTTCGTCGCCGGCGTCAGAATGAAGGGATAGTTCAGAAAGGAAAATCTGTCCTCCAGCTGGCTCTTGTAGTAGGTGTAGTCCTTGTCCACCTCTAGTTGCTCGTTGAGGGGTTCGTTGTGGAAGTCTGTGAAGGGGAGCAGCGGGCACCGACAGTTTATGACCCTGGCTCCCACCTCCTTCTCTAGCACCTGCAGCGGCGTGGGTTTCCTCTCCTGGCCCTCGTCTGATTCCGACGACCCGTGCCTCCTGCGTTGTAACGACACGTCCGGTTCGTCCGTGTCTGCCATCTCCACCTCCCCCGCCAGGATACTTGCTATGTAGAAAATGCTCAGCACCTTCGCCGCACACGTGATGGCCGACTCGTCGTTGACCAGGTGAACCCGTGAGAAACTCCCGCTCAGGACCTTAAACGTGATGAGCTGCTGTATGGTCTCCACCAGCCCCCGCAGTCGCTCCGCGCTGTAACCCGAGAAAAACCTGGCGAGGCGCGCCTGGGCCTTGATGGGCAGCTGGCTCATGGCTCGACAGAACAGGGGTAACGCGGTCTCTAGATACTCGGGACTGTGTAGGTTTGGGTTCTCCAGGATTATAACAAACAAGTTCAGGTACCTAGGGTCCTGCTGATATGCACAGTGATACCGCAACTCCAGTTCCACATTGGGGGACAGGGAAATGAGTCCGTTCAACAGGGCGTTTTCCACGCCGCTGTTGTTGTGCCTGAACAGGGCGGCGTACGACCTTCTCACGGCTTCTACGTCTATGGTTAGTTCGTCCTCCTTGTGGATTTCCTTCTCGGACAGTTCTCGGTCGTGTTTCTCGATCTCGGTGCTGGTGTCAGGCAGCTGGGACTCTGGCTGGGACTTACAGAAGCTGTGTTTGAGGGCCTCCACGCTGGAGAACACCTCCCCGAGGGTGCGTATGACAGGAGAGAAGCTGCCGTCCTTCTCACAGCTGTCTAACATCTCCTGTAACCCCGTCTCTGTCAGGAACTTGGGTTTCCTGGCACCTGCAACATACAGATGGACAACAGGTAAACATAAGGAGATGGAGAATAAACAGAATGTTTTCAAAATTCTGAATGAGCCAAACCATAAGCTCCCATTGGCCTTCATTAATTTAAATATACATTTGTACCAATGCATTTCTAATACACTGAGAAACTAACAGTTCAGCAACAGAATGGAAGAAATGTGCTTATCATAATAACTTCAAATGATGGATACATGATGTATAACGTTAAATATGTATATATATATATATATATATATAGGTATCATAAATTGAAACTGAAAATCTTTGATAAGAATACACAACATTGCTACATTGTACACAGACTCCAAAGTAAGGTACTATCTGCTAGAAGCCAATAATTCATGTAAAAGTATCATGACCTGCAAACATATACATGTACATATTATTTACATCATTGCAATTTGCAACATATATCATTGCAACATACTATACATGCCAAAATGTCAGCCTTCAGCTGCACAAATATATATTTGTTTATGTCAAAACATAAACAAACAAACAAGGCTTAAATCAATTAGTTAACGCATGACTTTTGATAAAACATCATCTAAGTCCTGATTTGGTCAATAAGTCATTCAACTATAGAGTGAATATAATACATAAACAAAGGTCATATGAATTATCATGATGTGTTCAAAACTTTGAAAGCAAATAAGCAAACCAATATTGAAATAGTTGCTTACAAAACAAACAGCTTTTGATGACACAATACTTGAAACAGACATATCTCTACATAGAATTTGTATATGCAATATTATGCATGTATGGATGGATGAGTTAATGTATAAGCTGTACCAGACTGTGCACATCCATACATAGTGTGTCAGGATCATGTTTCAGTTGCATCTATTTTTGCTACACATTGCAACTGTCTCCTCACCACCACTTATCACAGATTCCACTTTAACAATCCACTCACAACATGCTGCTAACAGAAATAACTTCCTTTTAGAAACAGGAAATGAATCTTTTTTAAAAATGCATGGCAGTATGAAAAGCTTCTGTTGGTTGTAGTGAGTTGGAAAGTACTGAACTCTTGCCGGAGCAGTAGACACAGCTGTCCTTGTGGTGCGCAGCTGTCGTGTCATCGGCCACCTCCTCGTCTTTACGTTCAGCGTTTTCGCCGGTCTCTTCGCCAAGCTCCTCCGCAGCTTCTAGTTCTGATGCGAGCAAGAGGAGGCCCCAGTCCAGGCCTGCCCCCTCTGCCTCCCAGGCACTAGCCATGACTACACCGGTCCCCAGACAATGCACCAGCCACCATGGACACCAACATGTCACAACAGCAGGGACTCAGGGTTAGAGGTCACACCACTGTTATGGCCGATGGGGGAGGGGGGCACAGACCTTGTTGTTGTAAACGTCATATCCTTTGAGGGTTGCGTCATACCCCAACACATTAACATTATTAAACAGCACTCCTACTCCATGGCTCACAAATACTAGATCTTTCCAAGGCTGAAAAATGAAGAGTAAGGCCAAGGAAAAAAAATGTTGTGTTTCATGTTTTGGTCCTGAAAAAAATTAGGGTCGGTGGATAGGGATAAACTTTTTTTTCTTTTTCTCTAGTGATCCAACTTATACAATACAGTATTTAACAAAGTAAAAATTGCATGAGGACACTCTATTTTCAATGTCAATGTTGGGAAACCGATTTTACAATGTTTCGTCACTCAGGTGTCAGATCATAGGAAAAGGTCGATCAGCTCAAAAAATGTATGTCCCTTGCAGGCGTCCACCAAAAAAATGCTAGGGTCGGTATTATTTTCTAGGGTCGGTCGGGAAACAAGAAACACAACATTTTTTTCCAAGGCCTAATGTCTGTCTCCATGAAATAATAATATTTGACACACAAAAAACAATCCTCCCACCTTGTTTTTCTGTCCCTGGCAGATTGGACTTGTGGCTTTCTTCACTACACTGTACCGGAGTGGATAGGCTCTCTCGTACCCCATTGGTCGTCTGTCTGTCGTTTGTGGTACGAGCAACCTTCCTGGGTTTGGGGCTGCACAGTGGCGCTTTACTCTTAAACAACTCCAGGGCCTGCACGGCTGCATCATTCTGTATAAGAAGAAAATCACATGAACCATTCCACATTCATATAGGCAGGATTGCAACCTAAATACATGACCCAAAGTGCTATGGACAAAACATTATGGGTTTTGAAAACCTTGCAACATAATTTTGCCAGTTGCAGATGATATATTTTTGGACATTTGAAAACTATAGGCTGGATGTCATCCTTAAATACGGGAATACGACCTTAAACAACATGCTCTGCCAATGAACCATATATTTTGGATTTCACCATACATTCTGCCGACTAATATACGTAATACTAATATGATGATCACATGACTCTCACAATGTATGTGACATGAACAAGCTCATCGGCAGAACGTACTGCGCCTGCGCAAAACCCCCATTTTTCACGGTTTCCATTGGACTTTTGGTCAACGTTACATCAAACTTTTGCCTGTTGCAGACGATATCTTTTCTGACACAACATTTGGAAACTACAGATGGAGTGTTAACCTTTATATGCGCGAATACAACCTTATATGAGACTTTCTGCCAAAGTGCCATGCACAATGCATTACAGGTTTTGCACAGGTGAGGTACGTTCTGCCGACATGCTACATGAACAGGCCCTTACCTTGCTGAGTGGACTGAAGCTCCCACTGGATGCACAGGACTGGTTACTGCAGGCGGTGTTCCCACACCCCTCAGTCAGCTGGTAGTAGTACAGCTCAATTTGTTGTTTCACTGCAGCTCGCTTCCTACAGTGGAGGTGCACAGTTTCTATGGTATTAGCTCTTTACTGGTTAGATTTTTAAAACGGTGGTTACAAGATGCCACTTTAGTTATTTAACTTAAAAGATAAAGAGCCTTCCCACAAGTGACACAGGTGGCACCCATCTCCATTTTCAATAGCCCTGGGCCACACTGCAATGCAAATCACTACAGCAGGGGGCTAGTCTACTGGTATTTAGTTATTTGCTTTTATTATACTAGGCATACCTCTTTAAAAAAAGCTATGTATATAGCATTGGTACATAATTTACTAGTATATGCATGTCACAAAACATATCAGTTTTTTTTACAACATACTTACAGTTAACAGGATGAACAGATCATTAATTAAATGTAACCTGCATCTTATCTTGTATCTTATAAACTTATTTGAAAAGTCTGACAGCTCAGAATGTGGTACATGTATTACATGTAGCTGTCTTCCTAGAGTTTGTAGAAATCTTGAGTCATTAAGCAATAAAACTAAGATTTTCTGTTGCAGAGCTTACATGTCAGCGTCTTCTGGCTCTTCCTCTGTACTGTAGAAAAAAAACAAACAAACAAGATTTAAGGTCTTTGCAATCGTTAACTACAACAATTAACGACAATGCCAAGTTTATAAACCACGCTGAAGCTACTGTAAATCATTAAGTCTTTGCGGTGGTTTTATGTTTGCATTTTTTGCACTGAGCATTACTGCAAACATGTGGATTGCATCCCTATGGTTGTTTCAATAGCAAATGTAAAACACCACCTTTCCCCTCAAACCCCATGAAGTTAAAAGACTTAACACTGTTCTGTATCTAAATTTACAAAATACAGTACATGTAACTCAAAACTCAGCAGTGATGCAAATACATATAGTCTCGTACTTACAATAATTAGTAATAACAATTACTGTAATTAGTATAACTTCAGTCATTAAACTTTGTGGGGATTTAATTGTGTGGAAGGAGGGGTCCAAAGAAGCAAAAGGATTAGATGATCATAAAATGTAAAACTGCCACAAAAATAGTGAATAATTTCCAGCACTGAGAATCTCCAAGCAGATATTGGGGTAAAAAATTTGCCAGGCTTTGCTGATAGGATTAGAGACTGCCAGAGAGGTGAAGCCACCAGATATTAAACATTGCAAACTTCCTCTCCCAACATCTGCTTGGAGCTTGGTCAAATCTGTCCAATCATGGATGTTCTGCAAAATCATTCCCACTTGTTGATACCACAGTTGAACATTGTGGTGGGTGTGGCCATTGAATGATTGACACCTGGCACTGCCATATGTTAGAGAAGATTACCTATATAATCAGTTACTTGTTGCATCGTATAGATCTTTCGCGAAGGAAAGGAACAGACCACATCTGGATATAGAAGTACAGAAAACATATCTGCTTTCACTTTCACATCTCCTGCATTAGTTGATCTGTTTCTAGTGTTAGTGTGTATCATTTACACAATATAAAAGCTACCCGAGCTACTAATGTTCTTATCTACGTTAAATCATATATTTTGGTTGATGATTTGAGGTCTGATTTCCCTACGTGCATGTTGTGTGGTCTACTGCAGGGTAACGCAGTCACCAGCATAGCAGCACATACCCAGGTTCCAAGCCTGCCGGGAAAGCAGCAGCTTGCACCGCCTCCGATTCCTCCTTTTTGCTCATAAGATCGCTCCGTAACAGCCTGAAGTTTCAAAGCACCCGTCCGGCACACGAAGATCGCACGACATGGGCGTCTTGTGTGACATACGACAAGAAATTCTTGTCCCTTCGGCTGGATTCTGTCTTCTGCAGTACGTCCCAGTCGTTCACGGCGCATGCGTGCAGCAGTTTATCAGCAACCGCCATTTTGGATTATTCCACAAAGTTTTAGGGGAGAAAATCTTTTCAGTTTGAGGACGAAATTAGAAACTCTAAAATAACTTGGCGACAAAATATGTCCCCTTTGTTAAGTATCAAGTTATGTAGGTTCAAATTCAAGATGATTCTATTTCAATGCCAAATTCTTATTTTTGCCCTGTCATGTCATTATGTACCACTTACTTTAGGCTTGGTCCATACACATAATAGGGGTGTCTAAAGATACTCTGTTTTTAAAATGAATAATACAAACCACACCAAAACTTACATTATATCAAAAGACACGAAAAAATATTACGCATTTGTCTAAATGTTTTTATTGGGCCTTTTTTTGTAAAGAATTTTGAACTGCTGTGAAAGGAGGGAGTCGTGAACATTTGACACCCCCATTATTGTCTTGGATTGTCCTTCGGAAAAATCAAGGCGTGAAGAAACCAGAAAATGGCGACCGCGATGGAAGTTGACCCACCAGCTAGCACTTCTGGTGCCTCTAGCAAGCCACCACAGAAGCGTTTCGAGGTCAAAAAGGTGCGTGTGTATACCCAATAGACTTAAGACTTTGTAGAAACGAATTCCACCTACAGATGATGTACTGCTGGGAAAAAACGGGAAGTCTTTGTTCGGTTCAGTTGCCCCCCTCCCCAACTTTTATCCTTGCTGCGTGCTCGAACATGTACACAAACAAGTTTACAGACAGTTGTATGATAGCTCTTTCCTCTATTTGGGATAGCTTGAGACTGCTTCGTTGGCATGTATTAAACCAAGGACGTACATACCAACTAGGCACACAGTGTGTTATAATTTGGTGATACACATTCATTTGTTAATATAATCAAAAATTCCAGTGAGCTTATGTCCAAGTCAATTATCATAAAAATGTTATAATAAGAAAAGTTCTAGCACATAGGTACTTTTCTTTTATCTTGAGAGAGACTACAAATTTGCAGGTCACTTGGCGTACTATGTCATCAGACTGCTGTATTATCTGTAGAAAATCTTTGGACTTCATCAGTTGGATACACTTTTTAAAACATTTTGTCAGTATATTAACATGTTTAACTTACAATGTCTTACAGTGGAATGCAGTGGCTCTATGGGCATGGGGTAAGTGCACCACTCTTATATGCTGGCTTTAATTTGCCTTTTTCTTATTGATGTACATTCCCATATGAACAAACGTTAAGTATAAGTGTAAGTGTAACTACCATGATAGTAAGATCATGTTTAACCATGTTGTGTTTTTTCTTCAGACATTGTGGTGGACAACTGTGCCATTTGCAGGAACCACATCATGGACCTTTGTAAGTGAAGTTTGGAAAAGTACTTTGTATTAACTGCAAGTTTAATATATTATGAATAAGCTAAGTATGAAAACTGCACATCAGCTAATTTAGAGTGTGATTGTCTTATGTGGTATTGTTTTTTCTTTTCATTCATAAGTAATTTACATGTTTATTGAATTCTCATCCTGTAACTAAAAATTCTGTCATGTTATGCTGATGTTTGATCTGATTTTCCATGACTTTCAGGCATTGAGTGTCAAGCCAACCAGGCATCAGCTACTTCTGAGGAGTGCACTGTGGCTTGGGGAGTCTGCAATGTAAGAAGTCTCCTCATTGGCTGCTTTCCTAATGCAGTTAGATAATTTAAGCAGTCAAACAACATAGAGAACAATACAGACTGTTGCTACTGAAAGCATTGTTGCAATTGATTCTTCTTGTAAAATAAATTGTAAACATCATAATTCAATGTATTAGCTAGAAACGTTATTGATATTTTTTGACTGAAAATACTATGTGATAACTCACAGTCTGGTCCTTTTTCATATTTGACACACATTTACTCAATACTAATGTAATACATGTACATGCTTTTTCTTCAGCATGCATTCCACTTTCACTGCATCTCCCGTTGGCTGAAGACACGGCAGGTGTGCCCCCTGGACAACCGGGAGTGGGAGTTCCAGAAGTAAGTGTCATCAGTACTTGTACATGTGGACATGCCTTTGACTTTAAGTGTTCACCTGGCATTCAGATGGTCTGGGGTTCAAACCCCAGCCAGGTCATACCAAAAAACTAGAGAAATGACATATACTAGTGCTGCTTTCTCTGCTTAGCACTCAGCACTTGTGAGAAAGAGTATTGTAGTAGAACACACTCCACTACCAGTGTACTAGCCCCCTACTACTCGAGAAATGACATATACCAGTAGTGTTTTTTCTGCTTAGCACTCAGCACTTGTAGCATATGGTAGTTGAACACACTCCACTACCAGTGGACTAGCCCCCTACTACTACTAGAGAAATGACATACAGTAGTGTTTTTTCTGCTTAGCACTCAGCACTTGTAGCATGGTAGTTGAACACACTCCACTACCAGTGTACTAGCCCCCTACTACTAGAGAAATGGCATATACTAGTAGTGTTTTTTCTGCTTAGCACTCAGCTCTTGTAGCATGGTAGTTGAACACACTCCACTACCAGTGGACTAGCCCCCTGCTATAATGTGGCTAGAGGGCTATAGAAACATAAGTGAGCACCACTACTACACACTGAGAGGTGTGGTATTTTAATTACTGGGTAACTCCAAATGACTTTGACTTTAAATAAAGTTTAATAGTGTTGAAGTGATTGGCAAAATAGCACACAGGGGAGTTTCTATATTACTTTTCTGTCTATTGCACATGGAAAAGTTTAAGTCTGGCTTTGGAGTTCCTGTTCAAACCACGGTGGTGATATTCTGCTGTAACTGTTTTCATTCTTGTCTGTTTGCAGGTATGGACATTAGAGATGGAACATGGAGCTGCAGCATCTTTGGTGTTGGAGGGAGGCTGCTGGATGATTTAGTAGCAGCTGTTAAGACATTATATTAAAAAAAAAAAGAAAGACACATTCATGTACAGGCACTTTTTGTCAGTTGCATCAAGGGTAGATTTTTAACCTCATTGGTTACATTGGGTAAAAAAAAACACAGGAGTTTCAAAAACAACAGAAAATGTAAAGACAAACATAATGTTTTGGCTACAGTTTGAGTCTAGGGTGAAACCGAATGTTGTTCATGCATGGGTATCATGTTTTGTTTGGTTATTATATATTGACTGTTTTTGCTTTATCATATATAAGTGTTATGTATCTTCTGTGAACAACATCACAGTGAGACATATGAAAATTTGCAACATGCATCATTGTCCATTGTTGAGAGAAATAAAATGTTGATGATGATGAGCATTGCCATGTTCTGTAAGTATCTTGTCAACAATTTCCTGTACTACTGTGTACTAGTACTTACATCTTATTACTCTCCAAGCAGAGGTTTGGGGGTATTTTTAGCATGTTTTTAGGCTTTTTTATCGGGGTTTCTCTTTTGCACTGAATTTTTTTTCCCACCAAACCCAACGTTTTTGGTGGGAAAAAAATTCAGTGCAAAAGAGAAACCCCAATAAAAAAGCCTAAAAACACGCTAAAAATTAGCCTGGGTACCATCAGGATTTTCGCTACGCAACGCTCGATGGTACCCAGGCTAGCTAAAAATTCCCCCAAAACCCAAACCTCTGCTTGGAGAGTAACATCATATGACAAAAATGATACATGTATTGTGTCTTGTGATTTCTTAGGACAGCTAGACCAGCCTTTATTCGTACTCCTCCTGGGCATACATTAAACTTTCGGCTCTTCACAATCTGGTCCTACATGTGATTTACTTATATAAGTAGATCTGATATGTAACGTACATGTAGGTGTCTGAAATACATGTAGCTTCTAAACACACAGCATACACCCCTTTTCCACCACAGGCTGAAACTGACAAGCAACCAAATATTTCAAAGATAAAAAAACAGATCTAGATATTTGCACAGTTTCCTTGTCTTTTAAATCATACTAAAACATTGTGCATAATATTCCAGTTATAAATCCAATTTTGGTCTCACAACGATAGCTTAGCAATCACAGTCTAGTGGAAAAGGGGTCTTCACAGCTGCTGGTGAAATAATTATATGGAAAAGCCAGTCCCACTAACATTATGCCAATCTAGCTAATACAAGTAATAGTAATTACCAATACCCTTTGACACAACAATTAATAATATACAACTTATTTCAAATTCTAAGGCATAACTATGTACAAATATTGACATTTGTAAGTGGACAAAATAGTAACAATCTAGTTGAGAATGTAACTTATCATTTATGTCATCTAAAATGCATGTAGTTCAATATAGGAAAAGAACTATCAAGTACTGATTACACCTATCAAATTCCACATACATGTAATACTTTGCTTTGTAAAGTACAATTGTACTGGAAAGCAGCAACAATACTTTGCATTGCTAGCGATTCGAAGAATATGTGCACAAACACATTTTACATAAGTTACAAACATTAAGAAATTTACTGTGAGATAAATATCATTTCAAATGATCCAAAACTGTTACATTTGAATTGAAAATCATTACAAATAAACCCTAGCAGTGACTTGGAATGGACCCTATAAGCTTTTTCATCATAAATACCCGTCAAAACATCAATTCTTTTAATATAATAGAAAACCTATGGTTTCTAGTATTCCATGTTAATAATGATCAATAATGTGACTAAGATATGGCTCGGTGCTAGATGGGGCATAAAGCAACACTATCAACACACTTTTTGATACAAAAAAGTCATCTGCCAATCTCTAAAAATTGTGCAGTGATCGAGAGAACACAAGCCATATTGCTGACAAAAAGGTCCTCTGACTTTGGGCCTGTAGACTAGTTGAGCAAGATATGTTCCTGGTGAGCTAATAATGCAAATAAAAGAACATAATAAATGTTTGCTACCAGTAATCAAAGTTTACAAGTATGTAATCTTTCAGGTGAGCCCAGTCCATCCGAATCAACACTCTAACCCGAATCAACACTCTCACTGCTACCCGCATGTCAAATGTTTTTTCCACATCAGATTTTGATACAGCCAGATCTTAGTTATTGTAAGGCCACTCTGGTTTGACTTCTCAGATTTTCCACTTATGTTATTTTGTTACAGTATGTACCTTAATCAATTGATTAAGAGCTAGAAGTTAACCAGACTAGTTTTTGGCTCCTGTAGCAGCATTTGAGTCTAGCACAGGATGCCTGTTTCTTCTGTTACACCCATTTCATTTTCAACAATTCATGAATTTACTTGAACTAGATCTGGACCATCAGATAAGTCACATTTTGAGGTAGACACACCACACCTTATAAAATGTGTTTAGGACATTTCAACAATAACCAATTACTCTTCATTTCTAAGAATACCTTCTTTATCATTTTATCTTTTTGTACAAATCCACAGACCAGCTGAGTGCTTGTATTCATTAAATATATAGGTGCATTTTTGTAAAAGATACCACAATGTGTATATGTAACTAGGCCACATTATAACAATACAAATGATGACAGTGAAAGCACAATACTAGAATATAATACTATACATGTATACAGTAAAAGATTATATTTTATCGAATGATATGTATCAAATACACTCTGCCATTGCATTTTGTTGTACAAATCCAAAGAGTAGCTGAAGGACTACATTCATTCATTAAATATATACTAGGTTCATTTTGTTATAATACATAACACTTTATAATAGTGTTTAATACCATTTGCAATATTTGTGTTTTAAGCTTCCCGAATGATATGTATTGTAGTCATCTCACAACCATGGTTTCTATTATTATCCAGTGATTTGTGTCCACCAAGCCATTATGTGTACGTGTATCTGCAAGTGCACATGGATCTTTGTCAGATCATTTAACCTGTATTATATAATCATATATATATCTTTTATATAATCATATATATTTTCGGCAAAACATGCCAGCTTCGCAGGCACTTGGTGGTGACTGGATACGTTACATTGAATCACTGTTACTTATGCCCTGTTTGTACCAAATGTCGTTGTTTTTGTTTGTGACCTCCTGTAAGGCAGGTAGTTGGGTGGTTGTTGTTGTTGAAGTAGAAGGGAGGTCCAGTGAGGCTTCTGTGGTGTCCATCTGGTCAGTCAGGCCGTGTGAACAGTACATGTCGTCCACCTGCGGGCTTCTGTCCAAGTCTGTCAGAAGAGCCATGTCCTGTTCCTTTCCCTTCAGTTTCTATACCCAGAAAACAAAAGGACAATATGTAAGCCTAGTGTTAATAATAATATGATGAACATAAAAATTAAAGAAGAAAAGCTCAACAGAAAATTTGCCAACATTCATCAAAAACAACAGTTCGTTGACTGAGTTTCAGGGAAGCCTGACCTAAACTGCACTTTAATCGACTGGCATTTAATTCTTCAAGCTATTTGTTACCATGGGTTGTTATGTGATGGGTCCAACTAAACTGTGTAGACTGGGTTTTGGTTCGCAAGTTTCCATTGCAGTCATTGGTAGTTCAGACATCCGAGCCCTGACTTTGTCTAACACAAAATCTGTCTGACCCACCTGCAGCTTCATAATACACTGGTTCAAGTCTATCTGGTTCTGAACCAGCTGCATCTCCCGCTTGTACTGCTGGATCTGCTGGGACAGCTGTCTCTGCTGCTTGGCCAGTCGGCGGTTGAACCGGTACTCTTCTGTCACCAGGGAGTGGGAGGGGGGAGTCAGGAACGTCAGGCTGGCTTCCAGTACCGGTTGGGTATTCTCCGAGGGACTGGTGAAGACCCCCAGAGGATCTGGAAGAATGCATTTTGGTTACACCCTATGTTAACACACCCTTATGTTGATACATGTAGTATGTTCAGACACCCCTATGTTCAGACTCCCCTTATATGTTCAGACTCCCCTACATTCAGACACCCATATGTTCAGACACCCCTATGTTCAGACACCCCTATGTTCAGACCCCCTTATGTTCAGACCCCCTATGTTCAGACACCCCTATGTTCAGACCCATGTTCAGACACCCCTATGTTCAGACACCCCTATGTTCAGACCCCCTTATGTTCAGGCACCCCTATATTCAGACACCCCTATGTTCAGACACCCCTATGTTCAGACACCCCTATGTTCAGACCCCCTATGTTCAGACTCCCCTATGTTCAGACCCCCTATGTTCAGACCCCCTATGTTCAGACAATGCTAACTCTATGTCAAACATAGATGTGCCAGAATGTAGGGGTGTCTGAATGCATGTACATGGCTGCCCCCAATGTATTTCCATGGCTCAAAAGACGACTGTACATATAAATGTACAAACAGAAACAGAATATCATCTATCCATGACTTTTATCAGGTTGATAAATCAATCAAGGTAACTAGAGGTAAATCTCAGTATATACCAGTATTTACATACCAGTGAGGGGCTGTAGGTCAGCTTGTCCATTGGACGATACCATAGCCCTTGCCTGAGTGGGGTGAACCACTGCTACAGAGGGATGTTGAGATCTTACTTTTCCTTCCTGGTCTCCTGTAGTAAGACTTCCCGACATTTCACCAGAATCAACTGCAGCAGATATCTCTGGTGTACCACTGATGAAGGCACTGCCATTGTGACCATTCTGGTGCATGCAGGTTGAATCTGTTGCCACTGTAGGAGTGACAGGGGACACGGGCGTCTGAGTGGCCATCAACTCTCTCAGCAAATCTGAAGCCTGCGATGTTGCGTTCTGGGTCTGTACGTCAGGGCTGGTGTAGGTGGGACTGAGCTGGAGTGTGTCGCTGGGCGTCAGGCACATATCCATCGGACTGGACCACGTTTGAGGACTGTTTTCCCCGCTGGAGACCGTTTTGGCAAAGCTGAGTGGGGACCCACTGCTGGAAATGTCCTGAAGATTGTCAAACTGTGCTTGCTGTGAAGAAGGTGTGTCCGACGGACAACTAATGGACCATGTTGCCGTTTCACCGTGCCCAGTCTTGTCCCCGAAGTGGGATTTGTCGCCCACGTGTACATCTGATGACAGAGTGAGATTCCCGAGAGTTTGGAGCCCAAAGGTGGTCCCATCAGGATCAGACACTTCCTTATCTGTACTGCTTCCTGCCGGACTTGTCATCTTGTGACCCAAGACAGCAGCCAAGTCAACAGAACCACTGCTGGAGGAGCAGCTTGAAGACATCGGGGACAGAGACTCGTCCTTCAGGTTGGTGTTTCTTCCTGGGAGAGACAGGGTTTGTTTTGCTGCCATCATCCCTCGGTACTCCTTGTCCTGTCTCTTCCAGCGCTGCCTGCCTTCCTTTTCACTGTAAAAAAAAAGAGAGAAACTTATATGAATGACTACACTTGTCCTGATAAATTCCTAGTTGTACAAGAACTTAGTACACATGAATAGGAAATGGTACTTCTGCCTTGCCAAATGAACACCTGAATTACTCCATACTTTGTGTGTTAAAGTAAAAATGAAAGAAAATTTTTTGACACTGTCTGTAACGCAGATTGAAAACTACACGTTAAGGCAGTGCATATACAGTGTGTCCATTCTGGTCATGGTAATGAGTTCTTGTTTTTTCCCAGCATGCATTTTTTTACCATGTACAGCACAGGAGTTAGGTGAACTTAATATGTACCGGTACATTTGTCATGAAAGTTCATCTGTGTTGGTAGTAATCACAGTAAAACGGTACATTTGTATCTCTAAGCTTTGAGCCAATCAGTGTGATAAAATATGATGTTGTAGTAGTGGTAGTAAATGGTTTATTGATACAGAAGGAACAAATTGGCCTTGTAGTAATAGCTGAATTGCGCCGAAGTTGACAATCATCATGTTCAGTAAAACCAATAAAAAAGTATATATTATAAGACATGTATATACAAAGTTCAATATTATCGACGTCATTAACAATACTACAGATATAACGTGGTGGTTGGAGATCATCACAATTAAAAAACAGCGTTATTGGAGTAATTACAGGAAAGGCTGCTCTTGAACAGTTCATAACAGTTAATAATATGATGATGACAACAAGTGAAAAAGATGCCCACAAAGATAGCGTAGGGCTAGTTAGCTAGTCTGTTAGTCTTCAAGTGTACATTCCTACCTGAGCACGCTGAAGAAGCTGAGGAAAGCCTTAGGACGACTGGTCCACCTGTCCTTGATGACATACGTCATGCTGTGGCAGTAACCCAGATTAACGTTCCGGCGAATTCTGAAGACGGTGCTTGTCTGAGACGTCTCGTAGACTGACAGGAAGACAGGAGCTTTCATCAATCCTACTCTTTTAGTCCACAACATTCAAGACATCATGCCAAAGCAAGTACTTAACCAGTTGTAAGCAAACTTCACCCTTTGAAAAAGCAGGGCTTGAAATTCATTTTTGGGAAGAGGTGCACTGGTACACCCAATCTAAAAAATTGGCAGCAACTACTAATTTTGTTTTCTTATTTCATTTTTAAAGAAAAGCAGCACAAGATTGATTTTATTATTTGATGTTAAGAATATGCTGTATACTACTATACGTTTAACATGTTGACATGTGTAAACCTACGAAAATATTTGGGTGCACTAGTGCACCCACAGAAAAAAATTGGGTGCACATACAGCTCCAAATTTGGGTGCACCCAGTATTTCGAGCCCTGAAAAGCCTTTGTGGCCATATATAAATACTGGTATAGTATTGAAAAACAATGAACAAAGTAAATAGAGAAGATACTTACTGACATTGTGTGCATGGGAGACATACTTGAGATCTGCTTTCTCAACTTGATCGTAGACTGAGCCTGACTGTATTTCTGTAGCCAGGGTTCCAAACTTAAACATCCTGGAAGGCAAGGGATTACACTTAGTCTAAGTATTACATTTATGACAGCCATAGCCTAACAACTGTCATCATGCAATCTAAGACACTACAGGAGGTGGGACATACATGTAATAGTAAATAGCAGCGAGCTACATGAATGATTCTGCAACAAAAGAAACATCAAAGTGGACTCAAAGCAAAGCAAATGCATATATTAATGTTTACCTTCGCATATGGTCTGCTCTGTTACTTCTTACTCAAACACATTCACATAATTATACAGTGTATGGTGACAGGAGTCTAAATCCTTCCTACTATAAAATTGCAACATGATGTATCCCAACACTAGTTACCATGGTGATGGACGTCTGGTTCAGGTCATTGACCTTTTGTGTTTGGAGAAGAGGAAACTGAGCAAAAACAAGATGTTTTCCTTCAGTAAACATAAAATGGTAAATGTTGTAGTCCTTCGGCACAAGAACAACACAATTACACACCTCTGGTCAGCAAACTCGCAGACTCCCTGTAAGTTGTGTAAGATGACGACTTCATTCTCCCTGGAGAAGAAGGAGGACATCTCCTTAAACACAGACTCCATGTAGGGTCGTACCACTGCTACCAACACCAGAGGGGGCAGGAGGTTTCCTGTGCATGGGCCAAGAAAAATCAGGTCATTCAAATATCTTCTTTTTACATTATACAGTTAGCATAGCCTGGGTGCCGTGACACCCGTATATGTTACTCCACTGCATGCCGCAATGGTTGCAAAGTGCAATTATGGAGTAACAAAATTAATGCAGATGATACCCGGGCTATCTTTAGCATGGCTTGAAACAATATATATTACATAATACATATAACTTATTCTTCATCTTCATCTTTGCCGGGGCTCAAAGATGTTATGTGAGCCCCGGCTACACCCCCATATAGCCCCTGATGGGGCACCTTAGGGGGGGAGGCCTTGGTCTAAGGCGGGCAGGCCTCCAGCCTGGCCCGGAAGGACTCAACGGTGGGAGCCATAACTACCGGGCCAGGCAAGGCGTTCCATTGGGGGACTGTGCGAGGGAAGAAGGAATATTTGTAAGCGTCTGTTCGCTCATACATATACATAGATAATTCTGGACCTGTATGGGCAGGAATGAGCAAATTTGTCGCATGGCAAGTTCTTTGCTTCTATAACCACTGTAAGGCATATCATGTACATACCAGTTTTGTATGTTACAATGTAAGTACAAGCTGCATAAAACCACACTGAGAGGTTTGATTCACTCAGGATCTAGGAGGTGTGGCATGGGGTCTCTTCATTCTAACTCTAGTCTAACTCTAACCATGACCACAGGGCAACTATGCCCCTGTGTGTATTTTAATCAATCTTGAATCACGAATTTTACCCACCTTCTCCAACATTGTCTTCCACCAGTGGCTGGGTGTGCCCGTTGAAGTGAGCAAACTTGTAGCTGAAGAAGCCTGCCTTGTTGGTGGTGTTACGGCACACCACTCGCACACAGAACGACAGGTGGCCATCTGATGTACTGGAGGATACTGGAAAAGCACCAAAGTATTGCTTCTAACTTGACAAGGGTGTGTTTTTGTAACACCATATATGTGATCAACTTTCGAAATTGTCTCCATTAAGAGTGGGAAAAGGAGACAGTTATAGGAATATATATATTCATACACTGCAAATCGGTGGTTTTTTTTTCACGGATTTTACAATGACCTCTTCACAACTATATTATGATACTGCAAACATGCTTTTCCATTGTATTTTCCAATCGTTACAACTGAAAACACAAAGACCTCCTTTCCCTCTACAATTTTTTTAAATTTACTTATTAATAATCATGTTCAACACAGACAAGGCTCATGAGAGCCACTCAATAATATTTTGGGTTACTGTACAGACAGCACAAAGGTTTAAAAGGTTAGGAGATGGTATTAAGTAGAGAGTATCTGTGTGAGTTGTGGTATGTTATGGAGATGAAGTTCTCACCTTTCCCACTGTCCTGAAATGGCAGCAGCAGTGGGACATGCTCATACAGGATATGGAGGTCATCCGGGTGTACCAGGGTCTGAATGGTGTGTCCGGTGATTTGATTCTACAAATGAGGGATAGAATTACAGTTAACTAACTCTTCAGATATACCTCTCGACTACACCCTATGTTTGGTTTGTATAGACCCAATGTTCATGGAATACAGTTAGATACGTATAATGCTATTTTTCTTTTAAAAAAGAAAAAAATGGATACATGTATTATATGGTATTGTAGTATACTGAGGTGTAGTAGTTAGTAATACTATTTCTCGACCACAAGGTAAAAGGTTCGAATCTTTTGTATGCAACAGGTAGTTCAAATCGTTTGTATGCAACAGGTGGTCTTTTGGGTTGGTGTTATGTTACAAAATGCATCTGCACATTGATAAATACAAAATGTAGTAAATTATAACAAGCCAATTGTTCAATACATGTATCATCTGTGTATCATCTTTGTAACAGCAAAAAGAAAAATTATATTATATCATCGATGTTAAATTTCTAAGTAGAAATAATTAGAGATACAACTGTTTTCTCTGTAGCTAGTGTGGGTGTGACTTACCCGGGGAATACCGAGATAATGACTGACTGATTCGTGCACGTGGAGGATGGTTCCTCGCTTGTCCACCACCAGTAGGAAGCCATCATTGCTCTGTAATTGGAATCACAACATACATATAACACCCTGACATGTACAATGCTGTTCTATATTCAATTGTGCAGTCTTGTATATGATAAAATCAATGGTATCAGTAGTTACCAGACAACAGAGGTTGTGTCTCAATTGTCTTATTATTTCCAATTTGATGCAGGGTCTGACTTAGTGTCAGTGAAGTTCAGATCTAGTTAGACTAGATCATCTTCCATGCGATATATCAATGCTCACCTCCAGCAGAAGCTTCTGTAGTTGTTCCTCGGTCATCCATGATGGCCACTGAGCTTGGAGCTTCTCATCTGAGTTGGTCAAGTCTGCTCGCAACAAAGGAGGATGAATATTTAGTTAAAAGTGATAGTATGTAAGATTTTTGTGCCAAAACTGAAAATATAACTAATTGAAATTTTCTCATCTAGATTGTCATTTCAAATAACTTTCAACATTTTAGCTTCGCTATTTCGCTTTTCCGGTGACTCAGCACAGCAAGAGAATAAGTTGCACCAGGCCCACTGTATTTTTGGGAGGCTCCTAAAAAGAATATAAACATGTTTTTCTGGCGCAACGTCATTGATCTTTTACTCCCTAAATGTCAGTATGAACCCAGGTTGGCTTATAGCGAAAGAAAATGTATAAAACAATGATGCTTGAAATAGGGAAAATCTTACATAATATCGCTTAAAATATATATATAAAATTTTAAACAAGAAGAATCGAACAGAACTACACTATTAGCTCCACCCCTTGGGTGTTGCCAAAAAGAGATTTTTTGCTGAAAGCAGGTTAATAAAACTTACATTTTTGCACTTTAAGATAGTTGACTGCCAGGCGCAGTATGTCACATTTGTCCAGCTTCTTGTCCGGAGTGTTGGCAAGAGGGAGAAGTGTGGACAGCTGGGAGATGTAACTGGTCAGTTTGTCTCTCCGGTGCTTCTCTGCCAGACTACGGATCTTTCTGTGTAATGAACAATGAATAAGACTCCTGTCACAATTCTTCTTTTCATTTTCTCCTGTCCCACACATAACTACATGTAATAAGAAACTGAAAATCATAGGGCTATCAAATATTTTTGTGAACTTTCTGACAATATTGTAAACTTGCTGATTCTGTCTAATGATGCCTTTTCCACTGGTTCCCATTATGGCAACAGACAGGCATACAGCAAGAAATTGCTGATGCAAAATAAGATAACCTTTTCTGGGACCTTTGACCTAACTTCTTGTCAGTGTCTCCACCTGCTTTATTATTAATTAATGTAGTATGTAGAAATAACTAAGCAAACAAAAGCAAGTCAAGCTGAAAAGCACAAAATTTAGGCATCATGTTTTTTTGCCCATCTTTTTTCCCTGCGCTTGTATTACTCAGTTATTAGATTTGAGCGTATGTCATCCATAAAACCTTCTCGCTGTGGCCTATTAAATACATGTCATGTGCACACTGTTAATCCTATGTCAAATTAAATACTCAGGATGTACTCCTGGGAGTGGGGTCAAAGGTTAGTATGTTGTTTTTCTCCTCCCTCATGTCCCATGTGGCCTAGACTACTGCATCAAATCTTTTAATCTAGTTCTTGGGCCACACCAATTTAATTTCTTGGTTAACGGATTTTTCTAGAAAAATAATGGAGCGGGCGGGCGAAAAAAAGATAAAAATAAAAACAAGCCTAGGCATCCTATTATGGCCCAAAATGGTACGATAGGAGCCATGAAGTCAACACATCAGGCTGGTTCAAAATTTAAACAATGCATTTTGAACTTTTAATGATACCATTGCATTGAAAGATGGAATAACTGTAACAACTAGGAAGAAAAGGACTGTTTTCAACTGTTCAGGGCAAAATATGAGCATTTTGCAGTTGATTCTGGATTTTTATTTTTATTTGCAAATCAGAAAAAAATGAAGCGGGAGAACCTGTTAACCAAGAAATTAAATTGGTGTGGCCTTGTCTATACATATGTAGTAGATGTCACAGATACTTAGGACTGCAAAAGGACTGTGGCAAAATGAAAAATTCTTCCGAAGAGTACTGTTACACTTCTAAGTCTACAATGAAATAGAAAAGGCTATTACTTACTATCATTATTTGTTTATTAGATATTTAGCTAAAGGTTAGCAGTAAAAAGCTTGGCAATTTTTTTCTTGTTTTCCTACTTCAGTCCAAGATGTTTATGGGTCACTGCCCAATCTCTGACGTCAACACTGACCCCACCTTGACCTGAGGAATGACATCATATTTGGAATCATCCCAGCAGCCCCCATGTGTTTGTCATAACATCCTTCACACCTGTTGATGTTCCCACATGTAGAAATATCTTAACATAATATCCACAGACTTCTGAAATTTAGCTGTGTGATTCCTGATACCTTTTTGAGGTAGTGCTGCTGCTTGAGTTGGGAGAAGCTTGGCTGGCGATGTCAGGGTAGTCAGTGCTAGTAGTACTCGTGACACCTTTTCTCGATTTTAGAACAGGTCCATCGCCGTAACTCGTATCCTCCTCTTTGTCGCCTCTGCAGAAGAAATAGAAATTGCGACATCGTGTACATATATTAAAACGGGTGGCAGATTTGGTGACGCCACGAAAAAATTCTTGTTTTTTTGTTTACACGAGCATGGGGAAGTTTACGTGCAGAACGTCGTACCTTGCATGGCGGCTCTCTGCGCGACGTTTCATCCTTCCCAGCTCGGTGTGGCTCTGCCGCCGCCCTGGCAACCTTGGCTCCCGTGTGACTGGGCCGACGCCACTTGCAGGTCACTCTGAAGACATAAAACCGGTTAACAGGAGTGGCAGTGGAGTGTGAGGCACCTGTTTGATGCTTCTCCTGAGTACTCCGAGCTCATCTGGAACAACATCACGTGATTTTTTTCACCCTTCACCCCCGGATCCTCAAATCTTGATCCCAGGGCACTGCATGCAAAACACCCTGGGCACAAGATCGAATACTCTCCAAGCAGAGGTTTGGTTTTTTGTTACCTCCGGGGAAGGAGATATCCTTCCGCGAGGAGGTTTTACTATGGTTCGAAACATTTCTGTCAGCAGCTGTTTCTCGCGATCCGCTGGACGGATTTGTCTGTGGTTCGGTATACGTATTGCTGTTGGGCTGCAGATGATGCAGAACGTTTTTGTTTAATTGCATATGTGTTTATGGGCGTGGAAATAAAAGGTTTTTAAGTGCTCCGGACACCCCCGCCATGCTGAAAATGGAATTTACCATGTTGTTAAGGAATGGGGAGGTTTCAGTTTTGGGTCTTACCATTTAAAAGGGGTCAAACAGAGGGGTGTCTGCTTCCGATATGTATTTTGAAATATTATCGCAGTTGTATCTCGCGTTGGGGTAGACTGGACTCGGTGTATGTTCTTTAATGGGCTGTAGATGGTGCAGGTTTTTTTGTTTTTATTGTATATGTGTTTTGGGGCGTAAAAAATCTGAAAATGATCGCGCGCGGCGCTGGGCTGGCTGCCAGCGCAACTTCCGGGTGGGCCAATGGGTCAGGGGTCAACGCCCTCTTGCGCAATCTTGGATGTTTTCGGCGTATAGTACGACTTCTTAACTTACAAATACCTTGGTATACTGTCTCAGACGTTCTCGACATGCATTTTTACCGTGGGTACATGGTATGGGCTGCAGATGAAAATGTTGACCAGTCCTGTATTAACACAACCAGGAACGCTAAATCTAACACATAAAATTCAACCGGCCATCAACTATACAGAACGAACAACATGGAAAAATATACAATAAAAAGCCCGGAGGTATAAAATCTCAGATTTTACTTGTTTATTTTAAATTTTGGCGTGTTTTTAGGCTTTTTATCGGGGCTTCTTTTTTGCACTGGATTTTTCCACCTAATTTCAGTGCTAAAAAGAAACCCCGATAAAAAAAAGCCTATAACACGCCAAAAATAACCCTAAACCCAAACCTCTGCTTGGAGAGTAAAGATAAAAATGCTAATGCTCCTTGATTGAACTAAAACCAAAACTTCCTGGAACAAATTATAAAGGCGTACTAATGTTAACGTTACTGACTATCACAGAATTCTTTCAACTCTGATTTTGAAGTATGAACTTCAGAATAATTTCACCTCCTGCGAAATTAGAACCCTGCAAAAGTAACGGGTTTAGGCATTATAACTGATGACCTGCTTTCGAGTCATCTGCTTGGAAATGGAATGTGGTGTTTTTCGTTTTCTTTAGGTCAAAATGTCAATTTATACATGTATTACATTAAATCTCAAACAAAGCAGATGTTGTTTCGTGGTGGAAGATTTTTGGGATCGCTGAGTTTCTCTGAACGCTGGGCATCTCTGACAACCAACCACGCCGACATTTTTCTCTAATAGTGTGGCTATCAGAGGTGGTCAGAGATACCAGTGAGTCGCGCTCCTGGAGTCTAGAAAGCTCGAAAGCAGACGAAAGGCTTGCGATCTTCCACCCAACATCTGCTTGAAGATCAATCCTCGCAGTGCATGCTGGGATGCGTCTGTTCGTCGCCACCTTCAGCCATGATGTCCTTGTGACACCGTAAAAACTCACTTCTCGTTAGAAATCTCTCTTCTATCCAGCATTATGGTACAGACAAGGGGTCCAGAGGAATGTTGGATAAATCCTTACGGCGCTCTAGGTCGTCCGGAGAGTCTGATCGTGGATGAAGTGGACCCGCCGAACTATCTCAACCGCTACACCGGGATATTCGTGGTCTGGGGGTTGGGGACAGCTGTCCTTACAAATGTTTTGAAAAGACGACCATATTACGCAGGTGTGTGTGTGCTTATTCGTTGCAAACAATGTTTTCTGTCGTGATGAGCAAACTGTCATGTTTTGTAGACTCGCCAGGTGTTTGTGTTCTGTGTGTAGAAAGTCATGACCAGACCGGGGGGTCATAAATTATTGCCATGCCAGGTATCCCCCCACACGCAGGTGCGGGGTTCTAGTCCCTGATTGGTCCCGCATACATTTCCGTCTGGCCTTGCCCTGTCTGTGGACCCAGGCTAATGTAGTAGACGTCTGCACCGGCCAGACACTCATTTGTAGTTTATAGCAGGCTAGGGTAGAGAGGTAGGGTGTGGCGGCGGCGCAGCGGGCACAAGTTGCCGGGGCCTGCCCGGCTGTCCCGGGGCGTGAGGGGGTCGGGAACCGTGTGGTCGTCAGGTGAGCATTCGGACAGGGGGGACCTCTTTTTTACTTGCTTAACAAAGGTGGAATTAACAGACAAATTAGCAATTTGGTGGGAATTTTTTTTTCTTCTTGGAAGATCCTTTGCAGGTTTGACATTTGTTTGTCCAAGAACGTTATACTGCACTCTAACGGCCTTGGTTGTAGAAAAAATGCACCAAAATATGGTTAAATAATTATTATATCTGCTATAATTTGAGGATTGATATTACTCCTGTAGCAGAAGAATGTATGCAAGCATTTCTTATTTGAATCTTAATCAATCCTTTCGTCAGACGGTATTTAGTTTGATATCTTTTCCTTTCATTTCTTGTTCAAATATGTTTGATTTCAGAATGCTCTGTAAATGGTAATAATGATGTATTGGGTCTTTCTCTTGCATCCCTTGAGCAATCATTCATTCCAATCTGTAGTCCTTTCCGGAAGAACGTTTGTTCCTCTGGCTAAGGCATTTCGTCTGGATGTCTGCTGGCACGATCCAACCGGAAATTTATGTCGACTTCTTCCAAGCGCAAAGATCTCTCGTCTGCCTGCACATTTCCCTCTGAACAGTTCCTCGGGGCTTGCAGAAAGCTAGGAATCCTGCCAAGCTACAGACTCCGTAATACTAGTAACTGCTGTAAAGCCCTGATAAAATGTGCCATACTGACTGCCTAGAAGCCCTGGGGTGTGGGAAAGCCGGAGACTGAGGTTTTCCTGTCTATTCATGTATTGTGTTGCCTGTAATAATACAGAAGAGTGAAGATTAGGTGGTTCCAGCCTGCTAGTGTGCGTGTGTAAGAGTGGGTGATGTGGGAAAGTTCCTACACTGACCTTCTCCATTGTGTGGTAGGTTTGGGAGGTGACCTAGGAGTGGGACAAGGTAGGGGGGTCCTTGGGGAGACCTTGTGCCCCCAGCAGGGTGAGGTCACAGGTGTCACGGTCTGCTGAATGGTGGCCAGACACAACAAATGACAGCCATTGTTCTCCCATTGATTCCCTCTCCAGACGTTACACACAAAAGCACATTCAACCTCACAAAAAATTCAAAACATGACGGTGGACGAGAGAAATAGAGAGAGAGAATAGAAGAGAACTTGACTGGTTCTAAGGTCACAAGTAAGCTCAGTCAGTCCCATGCTGACAGTTGATAATTTGTAACTTAAGAACTTAAAGAAGTATCCAATTGTTTCCTTTGAATGGCCACAGAAAATGATGTTTCTTCTGTGGTCTTTAGCAGCCTTGCTGTTTGTCATTTTCATTCACAGAACAATGATTCTTAACATCTTAGCAAGCTAAGAATGATTTCAATTGGCTTCAAGGTCGAACAGATACAAAAGGGTTGACAGCTGTCAAGGTGTTGAGTTCCCTTGCATTCAGGTGTGTGTTTACACCTTTGGGAATACAAGCATGGTTCTATTAGTCAGTTACCACTTGTGTCCACTGTAATACATGCCTACAGAGTCACCCCTACTGCCTGTCAGGAAATCGTACTGTGTACCTGGGACAGGTAGTGAGCGAACATTTGCACAGTCTCAGTGGTATGAAATATGATACTGGCACTTGACTGTAGGGGTTTCCCTTGGATTCAGACATCTGGTGCCATTGTATTGGCTTCTTTACTGGATACCTTTAGGCCGTACGTCTATCAAAGTTTAATAAAGTTGTGTGACAGAAAATCCCTGTCAGTCTGGTCTAGCAGATCTACACTATTGTTCAGGACTGATAAGGGAGACAGGGTTTTCAAATGGGTAGACTTTGTACCTGACCAGTTTTCCTTACACTAGGGCATTGTTGGGCCTTCCCTCAGATGATATGTCTAGACTAGAAGGAATGTTTGTATTTGGTGTCTGACCCCAGAGCCATTGGAGTCTGGGGTTAAGTCTGGCAAAGGCCTGCCATTGGACGGTGTTCCCCACACTGTCTCCGCTAATGTCTAGACAGTGTTTGACATCAAACATTCAATCTTTTCCTGCCACTTTTTTTCTCTTCAACGCCCACACCTCAGTGGAATTTTTTTGTTCCAACAAACATTTACCAAAAAATCTTTACCTAAAATATGCATAATGTAATTCCTTTGATCAAAGAAGGCTGCACTTGGAGCCATTCGGTTTTAACTCAAAGCTCATTTGATACAGTAATAGTGTCCTCTGGATAACTTCAAGTCAATTATTGAGATCTCTTGGTGGATAGAGCAGGATTTTGGGTAAGCCCATGAGTGGATAAGGGCCAGTAGAGCCCAGTAATTGGCTATGGTTGGATAGCAGTGTTAACAGGGCCAATCACAAGGGCATATGTTCTGTTATTACCTATAGACCTTGTCCAAGAACTATGTCGAGTAACTCATGGTTACCTTTAGTAGGTATGCTGTCAATCAGGACTGGTCCATTGTTCTAAGAGGGGTCCTTTACCTGTGGATGCCAGTCAGGACTGGTCCATTGTGCTGAGAGGGGTGGACTCACCTGTTCTGTCAGTCAAATGATGGAATGTAATGGGGAGACCAAAAAGAGCATGAAGGATACCCCCTCCCCTTTTTTAACACCACCCCTCATAGTCTTGAATGGGATGTCCCAAAAAGGCTTGCGGGTAAAACCAGAAAGGCTACAGCTGTGTAAACAAAACTCAAGACCAAGGTCATTGCTATAAAGTTAGTTATATTATTAGCCTCTTTTTCTGCTCACCTGTAATATGATTATCTGTTTCGTTCCTGAATTAAAAAACTAGAAAGGTAACATAAATTTCCAAAGCAAATGCATAAAAATGTTTACTTTCGTATATGGTCTGCTCTGTTAATTCTTACTCAAACACATTCATATATGGTCACACAGGAGTCTAAATCTCTCCTGCTATAAAATTGCAACATCATGTAACCCAACACTAGTTACCATGGTGACAGACGTCTGGTTCAGGTCATTGACCTTATTGGTTTGGAGAAGAAGAAGAGGAAGCAGAGCAAAAACAATGTTTTCCTTCAGTAAACATAAGAAAGGATTCAAGACTAACATGACTAAGCTAAAAATGTTGTCCTTTGCTGTTTCCACAGGTGTCCAGCGGCACATTCTCTTTGGTGGCCTTGGCGCGGTGGCTGCCTACTATTTCGCCAAAGCTGAAAACAACAGAACTGCCAGAAGAGACTTGATCGTCAAGGACTACATCAAGAAACACCCAGAGGACTTCCCAGACCCGGGTACTGCTTCTGTAGATAAACTTATCTTAGGGTGTACTTGTATAGATTAGTTAATCAACAGCTCTGATAATCTGTAAACAGCATTTAGAGAACAGTAATATGTTATAAAGATCTTGCGACTTTTTTTAGCACCCACATCAAAGTAGTCCCTCCAAAAATAAATTTACTGTAATTTGGCAAGTAAATATCACAACATGACGGTATAATATAAGGCTATACTGTCAGTGGCAGTTTTGATATGGTAATGGTCAACATTGAATGAAAGAGAGTGTCGTTACTTATAGGTCATTTGTTTTGCTGTTTTTCAGGAGGAAAGACGTTTAACGATGTGCTGTACCCGTGGGCTCCCATCCGCTGAGTGCGGCCATGAAGACAACAGACCACCAGCCCCCCTCCCCCTTCAGAATTTCAGCAGAGTTTAAACAGCAGCCAGGCAGGCAGGCCCCAGCAGCTTGTGATGGTCCATACAGCAGCAGTCTTGCTTTCGCTTCAGCTAACCTAGTAGTAACCCGGCGTTTGGCACACAGCGCGTCTCCTGTAACCCAGCTTGTGCAGGGCTTTGTTTATGAGAGTAGCTAGCCGTGATAGTTCTAGTCAATGTGGTTTATATGTTTATAGAGATAAGCACTGATGGAATGGTGCTATTTGAAGGAATGGACCTTCCCGTATAAAGGGAAGGCATTCTGGAACGTTTTGAATTTTCCTACTTCTTTGCTCTGGTTTTCCCAAGATCCAAAGGCAGCCCTCCTTACCCTGACAGGCTTTGTTTGGCATTGTGCTTTAGGCCTTTAGGCAATTTTTATTTGTCAGCTGCACAGGGTATGGACGGACTGCCTCTGGCGTTTGGGAGACTTCTTTCCTATCGTAGTACCACACAACCAACAGTGTAACAACAGTCAGTGATGTGAAAGGATATTGGAAGTGCTTGTCGTATGTACTAGTCATTGTGATATCACCTTGGCGTGTGATATTTTCGTTCGTCTGTGTGCCTTGATAAAAGAAAGTTTGCTGTATGTGTGTGTGTGTGAGTGTGTCTGGAAAGGAAACATTGAACATGGGGTTATAGGACTCAGGCAGGGAGGAAGAGTGACAGATTGTGAATAACAATGGAAGAAGGACTTCACCATTAAATGGTGTGCTTGTTACCAAGAGAGGTCATCTGTGAGAAATTACATTGATCTGGTGTGCGTTGAACTCCTCGCCTGAGAACACAAGTGGCCGAAAGGAAAACAGTTGCCTGTATGTAGACTGGACTTGAGGAGGGATCCGACCTCTGGACTTTTTTCTGTCTTTTCTCTATAATGTGTTATGATAACCAGGAGTTCGTAAAGAATTGTACATAGAAGAAACTGGACTTGCTGCTGTATAACCTGTTGGCTGCTTAAAATAAAGAGTAGTATGGTTGACAACTCTTTGTCCTAGTCATTTCACAACAATTAGGCTGATACCACTTCATACAAGACTGAGCATACGCCACATTTATTCTACTCAACATATATGTTTATACACGACCAATTTTTAAAAATCTTCTCCAAGGTAAACATAAATACAACACAAATTCAAAAGAAAATTCCAAAACTTTACCTAACTATATTTGATATCTAACAATAATTATTTTATCTAAAACAACCCTTCTATGACCAGCCAGATGTGTCAGACTTTCTTTTCCAAGATGAAGAATTGATATCTGAACAACCACAGCAACACTAGAATGCAAAGTACTAACACATCGTTTCAGGTGATTTACACCTTTCATAAGAATTCAGGTACATGTATTAGCTTTTTTTTTTCAAGTACATAATTCTGTGTATTTACACCTTTCTTTTGGGATCTCACAGTCCAGTTATTGACTAATTTCTAAATCCCTTTAAAAAGATAACATACCATTCAGGATATCTTCATGTTTTAGCACCAAGTTGAAAGTTCACATCTTCCTAGTTGGTACAGTTTTCCCATTCAAGTTGAAAAATCCATTGAAATGTTAACCAGTCTGGTTTCTTGCAAAGTTGCAGGATGACTGTTTTGCTATGCACTTTGCATGCATGTTCCATCAATTTGCTGCAAAGATCTGACAACCAAGAACTTGAATTAGTGTGGCCTAATTGATGAATGATTCACTGCATCTCAGTGAATGTTCAACTGGTTATTGGGTACTGGAGTATGTGGCCATTAACGACCACTTGTTAAAAAGTTGCATAACTGCAACTTTTCCTCCTTATCTACAAGCCAAGTCTTTGAACTGAGTGAAGTAGTTCAGTTGGACCCCGGTGATTTGGACTGGTCGCTCCGTGAGCTCCGTTCCGGACTGGGGCTTTTCCGCGGAGAGGGAGACTTCTTTAACTTGGGAAGCTTCTTGACCGCAGCAGTCTTCTTGATGGGGCCCTTCTTGGGGTCCAGGATTCTCTGGTTGTTGGGGACGTCTCGAGGAGACAGGCCCATCTTCCCCGTGACGGCGACCACGTCAGCGTCGAGCGACACCCGTGCCTGTCGCTTCTTGTCTTCAATCGCCAGGCGAGCCTGTCGGATCAAACAGAGTGAACAAAGAGATTCCTCCAATCGGTGACCCTGTCTTTCTGTACCCTTAATAGTCTGAAAGTCTTGTATTGGTTCATAAGGTCACACCGCCTTAATTTTATGGATGACATCCACACGCGCATTGATTTTCGTCTGTTCTCAAAAAAAAAAGATCACGTCATCCGAGGCTCTGGCCTGGATAGTCCATGGTAGCTTGCTATATAGCGACGGTACGGAGCCCGTGGTAACTCTGGAGGATGGCACCCAGGCTACCAAAGCTCCACGACTCAAGACCTCAGTACATACGTACAGTGTAAAAAAGCCAGCATGTGCTTGCTTGTCGTATATGTCGCTATGTTCTGCCGCAGTTCTGCCGCAAATTCACAATACCAGCTTTGCCTTTGTATTCCTGTGGTTTAGTAGCATTTTTATTTTTGGACGGATTTTTTATTTTTTTCGCCCGTGCGCACTAGTTTGGGGGTCTTCAGAGGATGTCATCCATAAAATTAAGGCGGTGTGGCCTAAGTCAGTCAAGTCATAAAATTAAACTATTAGTGCACATTGTATTACATACCGATGGCATACAAGCCTCTTGTCTTGCTGATGGTCTTATAATCAATGAATTTTTTAGGATATCCACACACACACACGCCCCTCCCATCTTGGACCGGTGTCCAGTCTATCGTGGTTAGGGCAGACTCTCTTCGGGGCTGCAGGAGCTCTTCACAAAGTTCTTACAGGTCTTAGCAAAGCTCCTACAGGCGTAACACTCCCGCCGGGCAGTCTGTTAAGCTGGGCAGGGGAAATTAATAGTTAAGACAGCCTGCCCCAGCCACGATAGACTGGATACCAGGTCTGAGGATACTTAGCAAAATCACCATGTACACTTACCTGGTGGATCTCTGTCAGATACTGTTTCCTCTCATCATTTGCCTTGTGAAAGGCCTGTGGCAACAAAAGTACAAGAACATGTAAGCCATACAAACATAACATGTATATTTGTCTCTTATCAAAAGTCTTAATCTGTACAACCTATCAACCCAACATCTGTACATGTTGGACACATTTGATAGACCCAATTCCTCATGCACGAGTAAAGAAAATCAAAGAAAACAGCTAACCCATAGCCAGGTCCAAACTGTCTACATAGTCCACATGCCTCAGCAACTCCTGATAGGAAAAGTCTGGAGCTGACATTCAAAGGAAGTCTTTAATAGTCTTGGAATATAGCCAGGCAGACGGAGACTTCTTTCAGAGCGGACTCAAGACGAATGTATGTCAGGTGTGACACAAGATACTTGAGCTCACTACATAGCTCCGGGACAGTTGGTCAGCTATAGCTTTTGAAGTCCTCACTCTCTGTGAGTTGAGCTTGTAAAAGCATGATATTTCAAACCTATCACACAGTCACGTTGGCCGTCATACAATTTTGATGTAGAATTTTCTGTAGTTTGATGTAGGTAGTGGCAGAATCAACAGTCAAGAAGGATCTAAGGTAACCTTTCTGTAAGAAGAAAGCTAAATTTTGCAGGACACATGCATGATGAGGTAGATGTCTTTTATGTACATGTAGTGTATAAAGATCTTTATTTTCCCAGTAGGGTAAGAGGAAGACAGGATGACTATCGACTTGACCTTGGACTCCTGGTCTAGTCTCCACTCATAGTCCCTGAGTTGTCCCTCAAGACTCTGTTTCTCCTTCTCCATCTGTTTCATCAGCTTCTTAAGACTGGCCTATAGGAGTACATGGGAATAATCACAAGAACATGAATTATGAAGACTTAAAATTTAAAAGTATGTGTATATAGAATTATGTGGACTTTTCTTCAAGCAGATATTGGGAGGGAAGATTGTAACCTTCTTTACTGCCTCAATCCTACATGTCAGCAAAAAATTTAGCAGTCACAAAATATCAGATTAGGATCTTTGGATACCAGTAGCATGAGTGAGTGATGGTTTGGCTAATGGTAAGAAATAAGCATAAACAGAAGGTTGTGTTGTCTGCAGACCACATCAATGCTATCCTAACTCATACTAGAGAATTCTAATACAGAGAGTTCAGTGCAAGCATATTGAATGGAATAACCCTTAGGCCACACCAAGTAAATTTTATGGATGACGTCCGCGCGCGCATTGATTTTGGCCTGTTCCTAGAAAAAAAAACAAGAAATTCCGCTCCTGTAACTATGACCAAAGAGTCACAACAGTGCCGCAAATAGGTTTGTACGGACCAAAGCTTATGAAGCATCAAGCAAGACTTCCATTAGGAATTCAGTTTGGTACATGCTGCCACATTTGAAGGAACTTGCTGACCGCTCCATCTATCTCCCCAAAGCACAGGACGACAACTGCTGTTCCACCTGATTTATTGCTGTTTTGATGATGAATAAAAGACTTCTTGCTTGTTACACTGTGTCACCTCATTCAATTTGTGTCCTAACATTTGTCGTCTCTTAGTATATTTCTAATCTAGGCATCTTGTTTTTTAGGGCCCTTCTTGTTTTTTTTTGCCCTCTTGCATTAGATTTAAGGTCTCCAAAGGACGTCATCCATAAAATTTACTTAGTGTGGCCTTAAGTATATCATCAAGTGGTTGGTGAGATGCCAACAAAAGGTACAAAGATAAAAATAAATGCAACAAAATACCTTCAGCATTGGCCTAATATGTTCAGACTTGGAAAGGAAAAAAATGCATACTATATTTGTACAACAAGCATCTACATTAAGCTGTGGTTGAAAAAAAAAAGGACAAAACACTTTTTACACACAGCTCACTACAAACATAGCTACAGTAGCAAAGTCAAGAAAATTGTGCTTTGTTCAAGCGACTTTCATGGATATGCATTCCTTGAACTTAATAAATGGTTATAGACTATGAGGTGTATTATATAAGCTAGCCACTGCACAAAAAAAATCATATCAAATCTGAATTCATGTTCTGGTGATATAGCGTTAACATCTTGCAATCACATGTCACCATATACTAGTAATACGACAATTGTAAGATTTGCGATGTTTTGTCCACTTACATCAGACAGCTCGTCAAAGGTGCGAACGCTGGCGGCGTTTTTCCCATCCTTACTGTTCTGTTTGGACTCCTCCAGTTTCTGTCTGAGCAGGACGATCTGTCTGTCCAGCTGGCCGTTCATCTCCTCCTGGGTCTCATATCGCGTCTTCCACTCGTTACCTGCACGGATACAGAAATGCCACTGTAGTGGACACCTCCAAACCCTTACAAACATGATGGTAGAGGTAATGACAAATTGTAAATATTAGATTTAGAATTTCTTTTGAAGACCTCTTACCTCTCAGCACAACTTGTCTTGTTGTGTGTATGCGTGTAATATGATTGTATTATGTAGCTGTAGTTAAGTTGTAGTTGTACATTTGTACATAAATAAGTGTGTAATTTGGGTGTAATTTTTATTATGCAAAACGACTCCAGGAAGACTAGTTTGTATAGGTCATCTCAGTCTGTACAAACAAATGGAGATCTATCGAATACAGAAAGAATCTGTACACATGTATACCGGCTATACATGTACACATAACAAGTATAGCCGGTATAACTACCCTTCAGTGTAACACACCAACTTCGCAGGCATGCAGCACAGCGGCAGCTGGCTATATGCCTTAATATATTACAGCAAACAAACACCCAAACTCTACACATCTATCTGCAGGCATTGTTTAAACTTAAATTTTTCTGGTAATGATCATGCCCCAACTGTAAGTAGTGGGAGCAAAAAAAGTTTTTGAACAACTCGATCCTTGGTTGATAAAAAAAGACTGGTATTTGAATGCAGGGCTATTTCTTGTTCTTAGGCCATGTTGATTTGATAATATGGATGACATCCACCGGGAGCCCCAAAACTGATGCGCGCGTGCGAATAAAAAAAAAGTTTTGCAAAAAAAAAGGTCTTTTCGTTATGAAATCTACGTGGTCATGAGGGTTGAGCAAATGGCACAGAATGGTTTGGCGAATAATCTAGTCTTCAAGTTCATTTCTTTACAATTTCGTCTTTTTTCGTTTGATTTTGGCATTCTACGACATTGGTATAGTTTTTATTAATTTTTTTTGTAACTTATGGTATATTTTTGCTCATTTTGCAACTGTTTTGTACGATTTACAGTATGGTTGAAAATTTTTTTTTTTAAACGGCCGAAAATTCATGCGCGCGCGGATGTCATCCATATAATCAAATCAACATGGCCTTATCTGAGCTTAGTAATTACCTTCGCCAAGAAGGTTATGTTTTCAGAGGCGTTCGTGTGTCTGTGTGTGTCTGTGTGTGTGTGTGTGTGTGTGAGCACGATAACTCAAGAACGCCTGGATGGATTGTCTTGATATTTGGTAGGTGGGTAGGTCTTGATGAGACGTGGAACTGATTAGATTTTGGGCTCCCTAGCGGCTTGTTATGGTACTGCAGCTGAACTTCCGGTTGTGATATCTCGTGATCTAGACATGCTAGGCTGACGAAATTTGGATGGTAGGTAGCTCTTGTGCTGGGGAACAAGTGACATGAGTTTGGGCCCCCTAGCTGCTTGCTCTGGAACTGCAGGGGCATTAGTTGAAAAATGGTTAAAGGCGGATAATTCAAGAACCGATTGATGGATCGTCGTGATTTTTGGCATGTAGGTAGCTGAAGTGATGCTTGACATGATGATATTACAATTATGCAAATATTAATGTAATTTGCATAATTAATGAGGAAATTCTATAAATCAGCTGCATTCCAAGATAGGGCTATTCAAGCTTGTGACATATGTAATTCAGAATGGCAGAAATACAGGCAGATATCGATTATGCAAATGATGACTTAATTTGCATAATTAATGAGAAAATGTTATAATTACATATTGGTAATATCTGGAATTTCATACTTGGGATATTTGAAAGTTATGTGAAGGTGAACATAATTAAACATAACTTATTCAAATAAGGACCTCATTTGCATAATTTATGAGGACATGATATAATGGCATGCATTGATAACATAAGACTGTCTTCTGGTGTAGAATATGATCAACAGATATAATTGATGCAATATAGGATCCTATTTGCACAATCAGGGGGATTAATCTATAATTTCTTAGTCATAAAGGCTAACATCATTTGGCGAAGGTATGAGATCGTGGAACTCTAGTTGGTACATCCACCAGTTTTTTTAGTCATTTTGTACATCATGCCTAGTTTGGTATATGATGCAACACAAGATCATTAAGGAATTAAGCTCATTTTACTGTTCAGCGGTTTATAATTTAAACCAGCACCTACATATTTTTAGTAATACTAGTACATGATTCCTGCAGACCAATTGAGTAGCTCAATTTTCATGTAGCGTCACTGATTGGTCCTCCAGTGTAGAAGAGGAGGATGATAGATGATACTTGTGTATCATACTGTACAGTTTTCATCTCACCTTCATCCTCAACCCCATCAAATCTCTTCTCCAGTTCAGACACTGTCAGTTTCAGCTCTGTGGTGGACTGGTCCAACATTTCCCTGGGAGGGGGTGAGATAATTGGTGGGATTTTACGCAATTGTTCAGGATTCTTACAAAAACAACTTTCAAAAGTGTGTGTCATAATTAAGATGCTTTTTGTCTTGGAAAAGAAACTATATGAAGCTGGTGTATGGATATTTGTTTCATAAACTACACTATTTGTAGGAGTAGGCTGACCTGCATGCCAGGGAAAGAAAAGTAGGGACTTTTTGGGACTAAAAGATTTCGATGCGTGACATTGCATTTTTTTTATACAAAAACTACAAACATACTGTTCAAAATCTATGCAGCTCGAATTCGACCTAAAACGTAACATGACATTAATGAATTAGCTTCTCAACATTACATAAACATCCATCAAATTCCACAGTTTGTTGTTCTTTTTATAGTCGATTGCTAAAGGAAATAAATTACAAATGATCGTATCTCTATTATTGTTTGAACAATTTATCAAAGCTAATATCCGCGAAGGTCTACAACTACGCAATGGAAAAAGGTCTGTCGTCTCCTAGACAACATAGCAAACACAAAACGACACGATGACGTTATGCGTCCGGCGTACTTCATTTGTTTTTCCTGCTGGATCTCGGCACGGATCCGGTCCAGGTCGTAGTCGGCGAAGTCATCGTCGGATCCCTGCCCGTCCGAGTCCCGGTCGTCCCCTCTGTCCTCGTCCGCCATGTTGGAAGCCTGATCTACCTGGGTGACACCTTAGCTGCTCAGCTTGTCCCGTTGTTAGGCAAGGGCGGGGCTTAACGACAGGTGTAAATACAAAACGACTGTTTGTGGACCGGTCAGCCACGCCGCGGTGCGGTTTGTAACAGAAGCGCAGTATACGGGTTTCGTTATGTTAAGTGACAAATTTGAATCAAATTTTCATGTAAAGATGCCAGGACCTATGGGGGAAATTTTCATTATTTTAGGCGTAATTAATTTTATATATTCACATTTTACAAGTTGGGGCTGTATACCCTACCATAACCTCATCTGCAGTACCCCTCCAGACCGCCTCCAGAAAAGTGGCTAATGCGACCGTCAAATGCCAGAATTTCTGTCTTTTTGGGAATGGGGAAATCTTGTGAGGCTCCGAAAGGGGGTTTGAATTTTCGAGGCGTATTTGTCTGTGTAAGTTTTAAAAAATATGACCATTTCAAAATTGACAACGAAAAGATTTAAGTCCTTTCACCAAGAAAACTAACAAGGGGGTATTAGGTCATAAATGAACCGTTAATTCCTTTACAATTTACCAATACCTGCTCGAGTTAATGTCCTGTTACTCTCCCAGTAGAGGTTTGGGTTTTGGGGGTATTTTTAGCGTGTTTTTAGGCTTTTTTATCGGGGTTTCTCTTTTGCACTGAATTTTTTTCCCACCAAACCCCCCAAAAATTCAGTGCAAAAGAGAAACCCCGATAAAAAAAGCCTAAGAACACGCTAAAAATACCCCCAAAACCCAAACCTCTGCTTGGAGAGTAATGTCCTGTGGCCTCAAGTCAGTGTGGTCTAGAATGAATTGAACAGTTTCTTTACATAGCTTGAGACGTTAAAGACATTATTGGGAGGAACACGTATGAAAATTCTGTGCACGCAGCACACAGGAAATCCCCGCATATAAACTTCCCGTGCGGCGACCTGAGACTAATACCGCGGCAAATGTCCGTAACAAGTTCCCGTGATCTTTCAGCGGCTCCGAACGGAAAGTTGTGATCCTCTTTTCCAAGATAAAATACCCTAAAGAAGCGATTTTGACAGCGTTACCTCCACAATACAAATCTATTTTTGCTGCAGTGCTGCTGAGGTTGGCCACGCGTGTAAGCTTTTAGTCTCCAGTCGGCTTTGGAAGTTGGGGGAAAGGTTTATCAAAAAGGCCTGCGTCTCCGAGCCATTCAGTGAGAGTAAAACCCAAAATTCGGTATGATTGGCGTGTGCCATTTAATGTTCATTGTGTTATTTTGTTAGAATTCAATTATCATTAAAGGGCCGATGAATACACTCTACCTCTCTCTCTGGTTTATCGTATGCTGTTTTCTAACTGTCTATCAGTCTAGATTGTATCAGATGTCTAACAGATGCTCTGCCAAGAAGCCTGTTACAGTTAGAAAGATCACAAGTCACCCTGTCCTTGGTGCTGAATTCTGACGTAAAGCCCCTCGTAACGGTCGTCTGCTGGGTCAATGCGTTATCAGCTTCCCGTCGTCTCGGAGATACGGATGTATGCTTCTTCCATCGCAAAGCCGATCAACTCCAGCGGCTTAAAGGAAGTTGGAAAATGTCTTTCGCTCGGGCAAACTGACGTAAAACCGCTCTATTTCACCAAGTTCCGTATCAGATAAAATCGCTCAAAGTAGCGCACTTGAAAGCCGCTTTGCATAGTAACAGGCGAATTCATTTTGAATTTGAAGGGGACTTCTAGGTCATAGTTTATTACACCCTGGTACTACGTAAATAAAGCCGATATAGAAAGCTGTAAAGAAAATAAAAGGGTCAAAGCATCCACAAAAAATAACACCTTCGGAAATATTCGGTCAAAAAAGAGCAATTTCAGGAGTTATATATTTCCCCATTTCCCCTACTTGTACAAATATTTAATATCATAAAGAAATGATATCAAGCTTCACACCCGTAGGCATCTATTTACATTAATCCAAAAAGGTATCACCCCGAGAATGTACCGTTCAAAGCCTGTCCCATGGCCATTGTGGCACGCCAGTGAATCGGTCGTTCTGTGTGTATCTCCTCTCCACACCTGTGCACGTAAACGGTTCACCGGTAATGACTATGTTTTTATGAGCTGACTTGACATTTGGTTATATGGGGGTATTACGGAGGTTTGAGTGCAGAAGTTATGCATAGCCACACATCGTGGAAACTTCGTCAGCATTTCTAAAGTGGGGTCCGGTGTGGCGTAGCGGTAGCGTGTTCGGTTCAGAGGTCTCGGGTTCGAATCCTTCCCGATGTCACCAATTTTATGCCCTTGGGAAAGGCACTTAACACGACTCAGGTGTAAATGAGTACCTAGCTACGGGTCATCGAGTCAAAATGGTTCTGTTACAACGTGAATGAGACTGTTCTGGCAAACATCGTTTCTCAGGACTTGGTTTATCACCGAAAAGGAAAATATACATTTAGAGAACTTAAAGACTGATAACCCGGTTCCTGTTTTCCATTTACTGATGGGTGTATACTGATTGGTGCACTTTTCTTTGCATATCACACACAGCTATCTTTGAAAAAAAATTGCAGATATCAAAAAAATAAACATACTTTGTGTTCCTCTATTATTCTATCTGCATGGCGCCCCTATTCTAACTTTTATCAACCCATAAACTCTTTATTAACACAAAAACACAACTCCGAATTTTTGTGTTTTGACCATGGAACTGCTAGAACCTTGTGTATTTTTTTTGTTTTTATGATGATTATGATTTTGTTTTCGATGCATTGAACTTTAATGTTTTTATGATTAATGTATGTTGTCCTCCTTTGTTTTACTGTATGTAACAATGTCTTATCTTGTAACATGCTGGGCTCCTTTGGAAAATGGCTAGTGTAGGCTGAATGGGGCCACCCAGCTGTCCTGAGATTAAATAAATAGATAAACACACATATTGCATCAGATCTACTTTATTTTCAGCTCCCTTTCCGCTTCATAGAAGTCATCTGTGTATCAACAACTGTCTGTACACTGCTGGGCGTGGCTAACTGTCAATCAACTGTCATAGGACCAATGGTACAACGCCTAGAGATAAACACATTATACAGAGATTCCTACAAACACTTTAGCTACTGTTGACATGGTCTGTTAGAAATCAGGGACAGGTATGTATCATCCGAATCACTTAGAAAGAAAGCACTATACAAAGGCCCTATGGCAGTTGGTCACTGACACATTCACAAAACTGTACACCGACTTACGGCTAGAAATGACACAGTACAGTACAGTAGGGTTTTTACATACAGCATTCAGTGGTCGCTCCGAATGAATGCTAGAAAAGAACGACTTTTACACATACAAAAATAATATCTGCTTATGTACTGTTGGAGTAGGCATGCAACAAGGCTTTTACGGATAGCAAGAACAGCTCCTATTGTGAGTGGTAGTGTTTGGCAGTTTTACTGGAGTTCCTAAAAACTTAACATGAACTGCAGACATTAAAAGAAACGCAGTTAGAAGCACCAAGTGTGTTCTCTTGTATGGCTCAGAAGTATGTGGCAAAACAAATCGTAGTAGGAACCTCAAAAGTGCATGCTCACGCAGTAACTACAATTGTTGTTACTACAATTGCTGCTTGCATTTTGTGGAGCAAGCTGTTAACAATTGACCTCTGTGAGTTTGTTCATAGAGGGAATGGTTATGCTTTAACACATAATGTTTTAGGTATGTACTTAAACCTGGAATTCACAAGTATTTTTGACACATGATTCTGCATAATTGCACCTGTGGTATGACAAGAAGTAGCACGTCGGTAGAACGTACTGCGCCTGCGCAGAACCCTGGATTTTCGCATTTTTAGTTGGATTTTTGGTCAACGTTGCATCAGACAAAATGTCAGAATTTTGCCTGTTGCAGAGGATATCTTTTCTGACACAACATTTGGAAACTACTGTCGAAATGCTAACCTTATATGAGCAAATACAACCTTATATGAAACATACACTACGGGTTTCGCGCAGGTGCTGTACGTTCTGCCAACGTGCTACAAGAAGTACATGTACTAGAGACTTGTGCATTTTGAGTGGAAGGTGGTGTTCCAGAATAAATATTTTTTAATACCAATCTCATCATGATAATTTTTTTTTCATTTTTTCTTAGAATATGCATTTTTTTTGCTGTGTTATGTTTTTGATTTTTTTCTTTGCTGTTGTCATTGTTTTTAGAATGTTGAAGAAAACTTATTCCCAACACCAAAGAAAGGAGAATAAAGTTATAGCTCATTGTGCTTTAAGATCAGGAACATAAGTAAAGCTGAAGGCAAGAGTATGTATCTAAGGCATCTACAGGATACTGATATACGGGACAACCACTATGCTGCAACTCACATTGCTTGCACATGAGGGTTAATAAAGGTGTTCTTTTGCACTCAAGTTTGTACTAGTAGTACTCAAGCTGTACATCAGTTATGTTTTTGGCAACCCCTCAGGGGCAGAGCCTTCTTTTGTATGTTGTGAGTTTTACTCTACAGTAACAGTTCTGTCTCGCAGAGTTCACACTTGAGCGCTGCCATGGGGTTCAACAGCGTGCACGCTGGGCACACGTTCCCCACGGGGACGGGCTCTGGGATGGGCGCGCCCCGCGGCAGGTTACACCGACTGCACACCTTACTGCTGCATCTGTTGATGGCGGCGCAGCGCAGGCACTTCCATTTCCTCAGCGGGCTGGCCTGCAGTTGCTGCAGCCCCTGTCCCTTCCCCGCCGCCCCTCCCACCGCAGTTTTCTCCGACACGCTCTCCTGATCGTTGCTGCCGACCGTGGCGGCGTCGGAGAGAGGCTGGCTCTGAACTGTCCCAGAAGATTTGGCGAAGGCAGCGTTGTCGACCCCGACTTTTGGCGGGCGGGGGAAGTTGTCCACGTGAATGAGGCTGTGTCCACGCGGACGTTTGTAACAACGTTTGGCACTGAGGGAGTTGGTGGCACATTCCTTACAGAAGGCCCGGTTACAGTGTTTGCACTTGACGATGGCCGGGCCTGGACAGTTCACAACCGAGCACTTGGGTTTCCCGCTGGACTGGGCCGTGGCGAGGCTCGTGGTGCTTGCGTAGGATGGTGAGCGATGTTTTTTCCGTCTACCCAGCACTGTACTCAGCAACCTGTGTTGGGGGATAGAAAGACAAATACTTCAGCAGACATATACATTACTGCAACACTGTTTTTCTGGCAAAACTTATATTTACAATCTATGAAATTCTTAGTTTTCTTTGAGGTTGTATTTCTGAAGTAACATTATAGTATTTCACACCTTGATGTTTGACTCTTGACTTTGGTCTCTCTGCCCCGAGAGAAATGCACATGTGAGGCCGGCTTGTCCCAGGGGTCGACTTTGTGTGCCCCTCGACAGGGATTGCTGCCCTCCCCTTTAGCTTGAGTGGTTTGTCCCGAACTTGTCTCCTGTCTGTCAGTGGTTTGTGTTTGTCCTGAAGATGCAATAGAACAACAAGAAGAGGAAAATTACATTTCATAATTTAGCATGAAAGTTCATCTGTGTTGGTACAAATCATTATGAAATAAAGACTGAACTTTAACTTCCAACACTAGATATAGAATTGGGACTTACCCCAAATTTTCGGTTGACTCCATCAACCTTGTTCACGGAATGGACCCGTCTACTCTTGGAACGTGACGTCAGAGACACGTGACCGTAGTAGCGGGTCATACGTGATAACTTGTTATCTGGCACGTTCCAAGAGTAGACGAGTCCATTCTGTGAACAAGGTTGATGGAGTCAACCGAAAATTTGGGGTAAGTCCCAATTCTATATCTAGTGTTGGAAGTTAAAGTTCAGTCTTTATTTCATACATTTCATAATGTTTCATTGGCAAAACACTTAAAAAGCCCAAATGTTATGAAAACCATCATGGCATTCCTGAATATTTAAATAAGCGATTCTCTATGGATTATAAGATATAGAGTACCTGACAACTTGAGCTTATCAGCCCAAACTTATTTAGAAGAAAAATTATCACTTGTCAAAAATTGTTACTCTGCTGTAATTATTCTTCATTACCAGACAATAATACTGCATACACTATTTGTCAAAACCCTTCTTATGAAGTGATTCATACCTAATGATGTATTCTATGGTTCGCTAGTATTGGATCGATATAATATGACAGCGTGAACTACCAACAACGTAAAATTCTCCCCCCCCCCGATAATTGAGAATCCGTTCGTCATGGAATATTTATCAAGGAAAATCCCGGGCTCTGTTTTGTTCTGCCGGGCATTACAGATCCCGTATGTGCATTATCTGTGAAATTGATCCTCGCTGTCCCCGCCGCTAATCCCGAGACAAAGTACCGGGATGACCGGATAATCTCTTCGTATGACATCACTCAATATCTGAAGCTGTTGTCGCGATGGATGAAGTTTGGTCCCTACGTAATCCTCTGTGATCCATCATACTGTACACACGCTATTCTGTCTGCATACAGATGTGGGCACTAAGAACATACATGTATGCAGGAGTGCCTATAAGTAAGGCCACATCAATTTAATTTGTTGTTTCTCGGATTTTTTCAGAAAAAATATGAAGTGACAGGGCGAAAGAAAAAAAAAACAGGCCAAAGCAACCCATGTTAGCCGGAAATGTTACAATATGAGCCATGAAGTGAACATACCAGGCTGGTTTATAATTAATTATATATATATATATATCATATATATAATTATAATATATTTTGAACTTTAAATGAAACAAAGTTGCATTGTTACATTGAAAAACTTTAACAACTAGGAAGAAGAGGACTTTCTTCAACCGGTTGAGCCAAAATATGTCTTTTATAATTGTGCATTTTGCAGTTGATTTAGAACCCCCCAATTTTTTTTTTTGCAAATCAGGAAAAAATGGACAGGGCGAATCCGAGAAACAACAAATTAAATTGGCGTGGCCTAAGCTAGCAATTTACCAAATACCGTGCAATTTTTCATTTTGTATATTTACGTTAGCTTTTGTTTTTGATTTTGTCTGTTAGTGCGTTTGCTTGTGCTTTTGTAGTTATTTTCACAGGCTAGGCACCTCAGGGATATTGACAGGACAAAGTTAGGACAAAGGTCCCGGAAAAGGTTATTTCAGTTCCTGTATTCAAGTTCCTGCTACACTAACATACATGTCTTTTGCCTTACTAGTATATAAGAGCCAATGTATGTATGTATGTAAGTCCCATAACCGTGAGCGGTCGTAGGGGCATCATGACAGCCAGCAGCATGTCTGGACTTGACATGATGTTTCAGTAGGCTTATAATCTTGGCGGCGCCTATCTCCTCTCCAAGATTTGGCTGATACAGACGGGGTTCGCCAGGCCTCCGTCCGGGTGAATGATGTGAATCACCATGTGGCTTATACAAGACGGAGGTCACCAGGCCTCCGACCAAGTGATTTGAAGTGAATCACCAACTCCATACAGTAGTGTTTGTACCATCGCACACTGGGGCATGCCCCTACTCTTTTTCGAAAGGTGTGGTGGGATCTTTAACGTGCTCGAGGTGTGGCTCTCCTCAAACACGTTGCCTCCAGTTTACGCCCTATCCGAGGGACGTCCCTAACTGAAGCTAGGTACTCATTTACACCTGAGTGAAGTGAGGAAAGTCGTGTTAAGTGCCTTTCCCAAGGGCACCGAACCTGCAACCTCTGGGGTGTGAGCCGAACGCGCTACCGACTGCGCCACACGACCCCAAGAGCCAATGGCAAATGAATAAAACAAGAAATTCAAGTTAGCCTGGTAGCTAGACCTATTATAGCTCCCGAGTCCTACATGCTCTGCACTATTTGTGGAGAGGATGTAGAACTTGGGAGCTATAATAGGTCTGGCAACCAGGCTAATTCAAGTAACCCACTGAGTTATGAGATCTTTCATTTCATGTTCATCATGCACAACAGTTGTGTGTCATTTGGAACACTAGGATCAGTCGCCTGTGCAAGTCATGACCTTCCTCCCAGACACAACACTTCACATTTACTAACTGCCTCTCAACCTTCCCTGCGAGCCTTAAAGACTTAATGTGAATCTAACCAAGACAAACGCCAGCCCTCTGACATTCAGAAGGGTTTCCAAGTGACAGACTCCTGCAGATTGCCATTCTCAAAGTATCAAAAACTCCCCAGGAGTGTTTTCCAGCCTCCAACCTCCTGGAAACCAGCCAACTCTACATAGCACTGGGTTTTTACACATTCAAGTTTTTAAGGCTTGGAAACTAGATTTTTTTCTTTCCTGCTCATGGATTGTTCTAAACCGGGGAATAAGGGTGCTGCTCCCTCACATAACCAGCCAGCATCCTGATATCAATTTTAAAATTGACCCCTAAGTGGCTACATACACCTTAAGTCTTTCTCAGGACCTTTTCCAGTGATAATATAAAAACCAAACATCATAAAAATGCATTCTAGCATTACAAACTGTGTTACTCTTGTAAAATTTTGCTTCCCTCCCTCACCATGCTAGTGATCTGCTCCCTCATGCTTAATTCTTCTAGAAAAATCACTGCTGCTATCCTCTCTTTTTTCCCTGTGAACTGCAGGTGCATACTTCAAGCCCAGCAGTTAATTGACAGTACGCTCGCCTGCGTACAGGTTTTTTTACAAGGAGGACACTGCCCCTGTCATGTGAAGGATTACACCAGCCAGACACCAGGACTACAGACAGACAGGCTGATGAGATAGCGCCAAACGGTTGGTTTAAGGAGAGGTATTGATGGATGACCGGTGCAGTTACCTCTGGTGTATGGATCTATTTGTCACTGGGGTCTCTTCTCCACAGCTCTTTAGTGGTGTATAAAAGCACTTAGGATCTCTTGTCAATCTTTCATTAGGCCACAGCAAGTAATTTTTATGGATGACATCAGCACGCGCATTAATTTTCGCCTGATTTTGGAAAAAAAAAACAAGAAATTTTGTTGCCTTCTGACAGTGGTCAACATGCCGAAAATGTGCACAGATGTCTGATGCCATGCCAGAACATGGATGGCAGAAAACTATGAAGAGAGGAGAAAAGAAAAGGCTCTGATTTAATGTGTTTTTTTTTTACTTTGATGCAGTGATATGTGATGCTGGCTGTGTATATCTGATGTTCCCACTGAATCAAAACCATGCGTACAATGATTGAGTCAAAATTTGAAAATGTAGGACCCTTGTTTTTTTGGACCCGTCTTGTTTTTTTTCGCCCGCTCGCATTAGATTTGGAGTCTGCGGAGGATGTCATCCATAAAATTTACTTGCTGTGGCCTTATTAAAAGATCAAAGGATTTGCACATGTCTGCTAGCATGTAATGGTAGAAAACACGTCATGCTAAAATTGGAGTACAATGTAGTTTGCAGTTCAGGCTCCAATATGTCTTCCTCAGGTTGTATTGTGGTGGATCTTTTCAATGTAAATTTCAAAGGAAAAATTGGCTAAAAGGGATTACAAGAGATTAAACCTTACTAGTCTGTAGCATGAATATTTTTGCTATCAGGATTCTTTTGTTTTGCACCATCCTATGTTAAGAACCTTTGAACAAAAGGTGTCCCCAGTATACAGTGCATCTTCTTTTTACTTATGGCCAATGCAAAGAAGAAACACCAGGTCCTAACCTAACTCTATGGTGAGTACTGGCACAGTAAATCTTTAAATGTTTGTGGTTTTATTTTCACTGTTTTCACTGTGAATGTATTGCTGCTATACTACAGAATTGTTTACATGGTAAACTGAAGACAACACAAAAATATGCTTCCAACTATTACCATAAACCCAACTCCCAGGAGAATAAAGAAATTTAGAGAAGTTCCAGTCCTACCTATCGTTACTTCAATCACTATGTTGCTGCTGGATGTGATGCGGGTGATGGTGGACCGCTGGGAATCATGGGAAGGCTGTTGCCGTGGCGACTCTGCCAGGGCCGACGCCCCTCTGCTCTCCTCCAGGTCACTCACAGCCTCCAGCTCATCTTCACTCGACGATGTCTCCGAGGTGGCCAGACATGACGACTGGCTCTCGCTGTGGGCATGTGGCAACAAAACTTCTTTTAGGCCACACCAATTTAATTTCTTGGTTAACGGATTTTTCTAGAAAAATAATGGAGCGGGCGGGCGAAAAAAAAATAAAATAAAAACAGGCCTAGGCATCCTATTATGGCCCAAAATGGTACGATAGGAGCCATGAAGTCAACACACTAGGCTGGTTCAAAATTTAAACAATGAATTTTGAACTTTTAATGATACCATTGCATTGAAAGATGGAATAGCTGTAACAACTAGGATGAAAAGGACTGTTTTCAACTGTTCAGGGCAAAATATGAGCATTTTGCAGTTGATTCTGAATTTTTATTTTTATTTGCAAATCATGAAAAAAATGAAGCGGGCGAATCCGTTAACCAAGAAATTAAATTGGTGTGGCCTTAGCTTTAAGAAACACTAGTACTTGCATAATGACATGTAAAGAATATTTTTTCGTACAACTACCCTACAACATTTCCTTTGCCCAAAGTTCAAACTGTTCCAGCCAAATCTCTTTCACTGGAATTTATTTTCAATGATCTTCGACGAGTAATCTATTTTAACAATCAAGGAACTTATTGTCTTGGAAATGGTGATGCATGTTCAGATACTGCATATAAACTACCAGTACATGTACATGTATACTAATAGATTATCTATCAGTGAACTAGCCCCCTGCTTTCACAACTGTGTGGCCCATGAGCTAGAGAAGGAAAGATTGGCACTGCCTGATATGCTGAAAAGTGTGGCAAGGATTTTAACAGTGTACTAGTAGTTGTCATTACTGACATGTAGTAGTTTTCTGAGTTATTGTTACTGACCTGTAGTTGTCTGAGTTGTTGTTACTGACCTGTAGTTGTCTGAGTTGTCGTTACTGACATGTAGTAGTTGTCGTTACTGACATGTAGTAGTTTTCTGAGTTATTGTTACTGACCTGTAGTTGTCTGAGTTGTCGTTACTGACCTGTAGTAGTTGTCGTTACTGACATGTAGTAGTTTTCTGAGTTGTTGTTACTGACCTGTAGTTGTCTGAGTTGTCGTTACTGAGCCGTCTGCAGGAGTGGATGTGTCTGGGTTTAGTGCCCACCGGAGACCTGTTGGCGTTGATATCGTGGGGATCGTCTATCTCTGACAGAGCCAGGTCTGATGAACCATCGTCTGCTGGCGACCTGGAATAACACCAACAAGGCAATCAGAGACAGGGTTCTAGCTAGCATGAAGTAGCATAGGGCCCCCCTATGCTATAATTTTGACCCCCTACGCTAAATTCCCCCCCCCCACGCTATAATTTTGACCCCCTACGCTAAATTTTCAATACAGCATAGGGGCATTGTGACTGTATTTCTTTGTTCAAGAATGCCAGATCAAATGTGAAAAATTACCAATCAAGGATACATTGTACATGACTTAGAAATAACATTCTTTCCCTTTGGGTATCCCTCAAATTGTCCCTTTTTTATGTCAATTTTTTAAAAGCTCCGCCCCATCCCCCCTCGCGTTCTCTTTGCTCCCTTGACATGCGGCCAGTACCACTACGCTAAAATTAAATCCTAGCTAGAACCCTCAGAGATACTCATACTGTTTTACGACTCTTCAAGTCCTTCGGACAAAAACAGCAGCACTAAGGATGTACATGTGTACAAGGTGTCTGGCAATGTGATCCACTAAATGAATCACAGGTCAAAAGTAGTGGAGTTCTTCCATGAAGACAAGTGCTGCTCAGTCAAAAATGTGGGTACATCTACAATGTAATTTCTGCATTGGAAGTTACAGTTTGGGAGTTCATAATCCATATTCATATATTTGCTCATGATAATCTTTACCAATACAGATGAACTTTCATGCTAGAGCTGCTACAAAGCAGAAAAATAGCTCACACAAGTCTAAAACTTAAAAGGACATTTTCTGCAGCAATACAGCAGGTGACAATGTGAATCACAGTGCAATTTGTAGGTATGGTAGAATGTTTCAAGTCACTGAGGTACATGTACATGTACATGACTGTACACTGTATGTCTGCTGTGGGACATACAGTATGTACCACGTAAAGGTATATTTTCAGCTGAAAGATATGCTTGACCTAGTGGTAATACTGAAATTTGGTGACCTTCTGGCTATCAAGAAACTCTGTTAGGCCACAGCAAGTAATTTTTATGGATGACATCCGCGCGCGCATTAATTTTCGCCTGATTTTGAAAAAAAAAGCAAGAAATTTTGTTGCCCTCTGACAGTGGTCAACATGCCGAAAATGGGCAAAAATGTCTGTTGCCATGCCGGGAGGCAGATAACTGAAGAGAGGAGACAAGAAAAGGCTCTGATTTAATGTTTTGTTTCTTACTTTGATGCAGTGATATGTGCTGGCTGTGTATATGATGTTCGCATTGAATAAAAACCATTTGTACAATGATTGAGTCAACATTTTAAAATGTAGGAACCCTGTTTTTTTCTGCCCGCCTTGTTTTTTTTCCACCCGCTTGCATTAGATTTGGAGTCGGCGGAGGATGTCATCCATAAAATTTACTAGTTGTAGCCTTACTAGTGTTAGAGAAAACATGGTCCAGACCTCTGTCTGCTGACTCGGCAGCACATGATGTCAGCCAGCACCTCCTTGGCACCCTGCTGGTTTTCTCCTTCATGTTCCTCACTACTGCTGGTCTCCAGGATGGCCACAGCCTCCGCATTCAGCTTCACCTCACTCTGGTTGTTCTCGTCTACTGTGGAGGACAGAACACCAGGTTAGTGAGAGGAACAAAGGCCAGACTGTAGAAAAGAGGTTTGCAGATTGGAAGGTCATGGGTTCAAACCCCAATTGGGTCATGCTCAAACCAAAGACTTAAAAAATGGTACATACATGTGTATTGCTTTCTCTGCTTCACATTTACAGGTACATGCAGCTGAACACAACTCTACCAGCAATTTACACTGCCCCTTGAGCAATAAAACTTTCTTCAAAAATCAATTTTTAAGACTATTTACACTATTTTCCTGACAATCAATGCAACCATATTGCATGAGACCTTCACAAAAGGGAGACATACTAAATAAAGGATAATAGATATCCTCAGACCTCATCATATCAATTCTTGCCATGACTTTATATAATCACATTAACATGTTGTTTTATAATATAATATCTATCTCTGTGACAAAGGTATTTCCTCTAAAGCAAAATTTCCAAATGTGGTCAAAGACAATTTGATAAATGAATGGTAATCCTACTGACTGTCTTTTCAGTCCCTTCAGTCAATTTGCAGGGATTTTTTGTGTAAAGCTAGGTTGAATGTTTGCCTGTTGGCTGGCACTTTTCTATCCGTGATCAATGATTGGACATCAGGATGTCGGCCAGGTCATGCTCATCGTCACGGACCGCCGGTATGATTTATCAGAGAGGTCAACAACAAGGGTAATGACTGCGTTTGATTATCCCGGCGCTTTCGCACCAGACGATCGAAATTCTTCACAGTCTTTGAACCAGCTTTCTTTGGGAATGGGATTGTTAAAGGGATTTTATGGATCAATTTTCCTTTACATCCTGCGTAAAAGACGATAACGCCGGGAAAATGGATAACGTGAAGAAAAAAAATGTCAATTTGAAGTGAAACCATAAAGTAGGGCTCACTGAACGATGGGTTATCTTATGACAGTAGCTCTTAATTCATGATGCAACTATAGAGAGCTAATCATTCATCCAATGAGTGTATGTTTTCATTTACACGACTTTCCTCACTTCACTCAGGTGTAAGTGAGTACCTAGCTTTGGAGGTCCCGTGTTTGGGAGAGCCACACCCCACGCACGTTAAAGAACCCTCCGCACTTATCGAAAAGAGTAGGGGACCTTCCCGGTGTGAGTGGTTCAAACCTTACAGTCTGGTCTCGGGTTTGACATCTTTGAAGAGCTGGTGATAGTCACCTGTTATGTCAATCCTTCCACAAATGTGGTAAATCGTCATAAAATAATTAAAATTATGGAAACATACACTCATTGGATGAACCCATCAACTTTTTTTAGAGTCTATGAAGGGTTGTCATCAGCAAAAAAAGAAGATAGACAGCACTTTGCCATATATCCTGGACAACAATTTGCAGTTTGAAAGAGGTTGTCTTGTCTGAGACTTGCAGGAGATCTTTTAGAAAATTCCATAATTTCTCCACTTTTAACCATCTTTTTTTAATGATAAGAGTACCAGGCCTCCGCTTGAAACACAATCATGAAAATAGAAAAGATGCAGCCTGAAACCTATGTACGATACCATATATCAGGGGGTAAAGTATAGCTTGTATGGTCAAAAATGACTTTGAAAAGTTGTCACGGGGATTGAACCGCAGTTTTAAAAACATCCTTTCTAAAGTTAAATTGCCCAGTCATTGCCCTGGTCCACCCTTCACTACTTAAAGCATCACGTTGGCAGGCAATTCTCCCCTGGAATCGACAGTACAATTGCCGGGCGTATTGATCCTGGGGTGGGATGGATGGAGGCGGCATCATCACCACAACTCCACCTGGGACATGTTTTCATTACCCACATCGATCCGTCTCCCCTCAAGAACTATCTCTGCCAAGTTCTAACCACCAGCTCAGGAAAAAAAATCCTTTGTTCATTTCGGTTGAATTAGACCTCGCGGTTCCCGGAGGAATGGAGCTATTCATCTGGGAATTACCGAGGTCGGGATCTAAAAAGACGAGCAGCGTGATGAGAGGGGAAAGGTTATCCTTGATGAATTGCCCGCGGCCTTTGCGATCTCTTCTTGCCGCTATCTCTCACAGTCTGGGCATGCTACAATGAATGAATCTAGAGATGTGAAGAGTAGAAATCATTGCATAGCTGATACTGACATGATTAAATCATTGAGCCAAGTGTATCATGTTCACTGGAAGATGGTAAGTAGTAAGATCATACAGAAGTTGATCTGACAGGTTGGTATGTGAAGTTCGCAAAAGACTTAGTAAGGTACGCCAAAAAAACAGTTACTCAAGCAGCTAGATATGATGTTGGAAACGGTCAGACGTTTCAGGTAGCATCCACTACCTTTCGTCAGTGACACTAAGAGACTGCTGTGCAGGAGAAATGCAGGTTCATAAGCACGAACTACTGATTGATTTAGTAAGATGTCACACAGTGTCTAAGCTTATACTGTTGAGGGTGTGTGCTTTAGTAACAAGCTGAATCTTAAGCCACAATTTTTGGCCAGTAATATAAAGTTCAAGCAACACTAAACACTACTTTAAAGGAAAGTCTTCTCTGTTACCATGCAGCAACACCTGTTTGTTGCCATAGTGTGTTACACAATCTCTCGGGCCAGAGAGACTGGGGTTGTTTACCTCCGAGCCAGAAGACTAAATTTTAAAGGTGAGAAGTACCAATAGGAACCCAGGATTCTTTATCACTGTGAAAATCAGTTAGATATGAGCTAAGGATACGCTGGGAACATCTGCATAAATCAACAAGAATAGGATGTTCCCAATTCCCCTGACTTTATACATGTATTAGAGATGTTGGTTATCAAGATCCTGGGACCTTGACTAATGGAAGGGCTGGTAGAAATGTGGTTTAATCAGTCTACCTGTAGAAGATCCCTTTCCACTCCTTGCTGAGCATAGGGGTGGTGCCCATCTCTATTTCTGAAGCCCTTAGGCCACACAGTGGAATGTACAAGCAGTACAGCTGGTAGTGTTGTGTGTTTGACTTTCCCATACTCTTTCTCATAGATGCTGAGTGCTAAGCAGAGAAAGCTGTATGTACAATTTTTAAAGTCTTTGGTATGACCCAGCCGGGGTTTGAACTCATGACCTCCCAGTTACAAAGCGAGCACTCTTCCCAATTGAGCTATTGCACCTGTATGCTGTTGCAAAAAAAAAGTCTTCTTGACGTACCTGGGGGTTCTCCGATGTAGCCGTAATCACTGAGCATGTCCAGGATGTCTCCTACAAACTTGCAGCTCAGAGTGTCCACAGCCTGGGGGTGGATCACACACTCAGACACCAACTCTTCTACCTGCTTATATGTTTCCTACAAAAACAACAGTCTATGTCAAAACATGGCCTTGCCAAAACTATCTACACAACTAGAAAGGTAACATTTCTGTATCTGTATCTGTATAGCTGGTATAACCGCCTTTCGGCATAACAAACCAACACACATTTGCAAAGCATATGCATAATATTTACCTTCGCACATGGTCTGCTCTGTCAATTTTTCCTCAAACACATTCATATATGTGGTGACAGGAGTCTAAATCCCTCCTGCTATAAAATTGCAACATAATGTAACTTAACACCAGTTACCATGGTGACAGATGTCTGGTTCAGGTCATTGAAGTTATTGGTTTGGAGAAGAAGAACAGGAATAAGAAACAGGGCAAAAACAATATGTTTTCCTTCTGCGAAGGTAAACATAACATACTACATTTCTTTTATTTACAAAGTGTGTGTAGTCCAGAGGTTAGCGACCCTGCCTCAGGACTAAGAGGTTGGGAGTGCCAGTCCTGGCTGTTGTCGCTCACCCGACATGTACGCTTCTGTAAAGGGCCACAGTCCACTGTTCATTGTGCTTGTAAAAAAGAACTACTGGAATTTCCAATTACAATGAACCTGTAATTATTGTACATACATTCTGTAGCGTCTGTCTTCTCTGTCATGACCAGTGGGAGATTAGCTCTTCGATGAGCTAAAACTGGATCGAGATCACTTTCCTTTCCTTCCATTTATTACGTGGCACCGGTGCATTAATACTGATAAACGGATTAACTCAAAGTGCTCTTAATAGACTTTGAAGCTATTAGTTAACAGTCACTGTGCTTAGTGTGTAAGCTTAATCATGTTCATGTTTTCCATGAAAGTTCATCTGTGTTGGTAGTAATCATAGTAAAACGTTAAACTTTATTCCAACACACTATTTACAGGGTCGCTGAAAATTTGATCCCTGTAAATAGTGTGTTGGAATAAAGTTTAACGTTTTACTATGTTCATGTTTTATCTTCCAGTGGTTACTAATAGGTAACTTTCTAATGTATTTCCTACTCAGAAAGTTTCCAATTGTTCAGGCATTGGAAAACGCATAATTCATTGCAAAGTGTAACTGACAGCTCCTTCTGTGACTCCCATGTTTAATAACATTACAGTGTCATTTCGTCGATACACAAGGTCAAGGCATAGAGCAAATCAATATCTCATAAGATCAAAAGGCATGCGGGGAAATAGATCAACTGATAGTAGATCATAACGAAGGATGATTTATGACCAATCATACTGATGTTATAGAAGACCCAGGAGTTCAATTATAGCTTAGGCCACGGGAAGTACATTTTATGGATGTCATCTGCCTTGCGTACATGCAGTGGTAGAAATACTTTTTCTCAGTGTTCTGCAATACTGCAGAATGTCAAAATTTTTTTCTGCAATTCAGAAATACTTTATGCGAACACACTTAAAGGCCAGATTTAAACCCATGGGCCATGGCATATACAAAATTGCATGTTGGCAAACATTTGATTTGAAAAAAATACATGTAAAACTTGTATATTATCAAGTCAGTAGTAAACGCAAAAACTCTTACCGGTAAATACCATTGAACCCCTAGCCTGTTTTTTTTCAGTCTGCAAAATTGTTGGTTGCTTAATTTTTCTTCTGCAATATTGAAAAAAGTCTCTGCAAAATGCAGACTGCAGAGGGGTATTTCTAACAACTTATGTACATGTACCATATCTTTTCACTCTTAGCTTTACACTAGATTTGGAGTCTGCAGTGGATGTCATTTATAAAATCTACTTGCTGTGGCCTAACCAAATCTAAATGATTATAGAACGGAACAAACCTAGGTAAGAACACAACACAAAAGAGCAACGGAAGAAGTGAGACTGGGGTCACCGAGGTGTTACCTGCACCTGGCCTTTCTTTTCTAGCACCGTCCTGTCCGATCGCTGGATCAGGAAGTGACAATGCCCCTCCAGCTCCTCCGCTTTAGATACGACATCAGACAGCTCCCTGGGAAAAGGAAACATACTGGTAAGTGCCACTATAGATAGATGATTTGGTAATCAACCAAGTGTGATTCACAAGGGAAAGCATGCTGTACTATGTATTATCAGTATAAGTAAAAGTTGAAACAGTAGGTGTCAAACTGAAATTGAAGAGCAAAAAAGTGGCAAAAATTTCATATCCTTTTGGGGCAGATAAAAGACATTTCTATAGTCCCAGCCTCTCTAGTCTAATTGTTCCAGTGTGGCACAAACAAACATACAACACAATTCATACATTTTCCTGTTGCCTTTGTAACACATACATAATTTCTTTCAACATTATATATGTAGATAGATTTTGATGTTTTTTAAACACTTAACATGATACTTCATCAGTTTTAAGGTTAAAAAAACATGATATTCCCTACCTCTCCTGTTTCTCCAGTGTGGCGACCCTGATGATGGTCTGGTTCTTGACCTGTGCCTTGAGTTGGTTCTCCCTCTTGTACAGTCTCTTCCTCAGCAGCTCGAAGTGGTGCGAGATCTCCCGCATCAGCTTCTCCTCCTTGAACCGGACGGCCGTGCACATCTCGTGGACCGCGCTCCGCACCTCCGACAGCTGCTGCTTGTGCTTGATCAGCGCCTCGGCCAGCTGTCTCAGATTCTGAAGGGAACAGCAAAAGACAGCAACTCAGGACAGACTGATTACAGACTCCCGGGCACATTTGACCCACAACTCTTTAAGTGCAAATAAAATTGTACAATTAACTTTTGGGGCCAAATGGACTTGAGCTATTGGAGCATATATTTAGGTGGGAGGACTATACAGGTACATGTATGTAGAGTGTGTCTCAGACAGTGTAACAGCAGAAGATGGACACAACATTTTTGAAGGCAATGTCAGGGGATGCACCAAGGCCAGAGAGATCGATATTCCATTTCAGTTTGAAGCGAGCCATCTTGCTTGGCAATGGACTGCAGAAGCTTGCCCCAGGATAGCTATTACTAAATCCCTAGTGAATTGGAAGTCAAAGTAGTCGCCAACGCTGGCCTGGTTCTGTTGCCAGAGTGTGGAAGTACTCCGCATTCGCTGGTATCGTTGAAAACAACCATCTTATTCATAATCCAGGAAGACGTACTCTTGTAGGCTACCTGCCATTAATGGATTACAGTCCCCTTAGGGTAAAATTGTGTCCGGATCCCTGAGCGCAGCTCGCTCGTACTTTCTGACTCGTATCTACTGCCTATTCCTCAGGCGGGAAGACTACATCACGATGTGGATTACTTGAAACAGAGCCTGTTTGGTAGATATGGGCTGCTTACTATAGTAATGTACATACATCAGGGCTTGTTCAGGTTCTCGTCATTTTTGCTTTAGGATAGCAAATGGCAGGTCATTTGAAGTTAACGCTTGATAGAGTACAAACTTTAAGTGGCAGGAAAATTACTTTCTGGTACATCTTTCAACACTCAACATTGAAGGAAAATTGCCATAATCACAATTTTGTAACTTTTCAAAGGAATACAATATGAAAAATACCTTCCAATAATTTCCTATAAAATTTCTATTAACTGCAATATTGCCCTTACACATCATAGACACAGTCTATCGCACATATTGAACCTGATTTTGATTACATTTTCTTTTCCAATTTTCTGTAATCCAAACAATACTTCATCCATTATAAAAATCAAGTCCCTGTATTAAAACTGATGGCCTTTGCCTGCCCTTTCCTTGAGGAGTAATTGCACTGCAGGCAAACATTGTTATTCAATTTCTCCCTTGCAGTAGTTTTGCTAATGTTCTGTGACTCGGAACCGTTGGCCTTTATAACGTAGATTTATTAGGTTTTGCATGACGACTCTGTTCAACCTTGCTCCTAACCCTTGAAAGCTGACAGGCGTTGTGCATTGGCTACATATTGGGCTGAATCGTCATTGGTGACACATAGCCAGGAATAGCTTCGACAAGGCAGTATTCAAGCTGCCATTCACTGCAGGATGATGAACAGTTACTGGTAGTGAACACCATTGAGAAGTCTTTAACATTAAACCTTCTTTTCTGGCATCTCCGCTATCAGACCAGATTGCCTGCCAGGTCAATTTCATTGATTTTACAAAAGTTCATGTGTCAAAAGTACACTTTGCTCCTAGCAAAATACTTTTGCTCAATGAGTCTTGACAATCAAAGGGCCATGTATTACCCTAGTCTTTTTCGAAGGTCAACTTATGATGATTAATTCTGCCGTCAGAAATTGTGTGTTTGCCAGCAATTCTTTTAGTTTTATTGATTCCGTGTGCAATATGGCCAGTTGGCCCACAGAGAAATGTCTGCGAAAAAGATGGGCTTGGAAAGGATCCGTATGAATCATACTGACGTACCAAAACCGTTTCTTGTGAACAAGCAATACTAACATTGGTCCGTAAATTCTGCTGTCAATTTGAGGGTCAAAGTCATCGAAGTCCAGTTTATCTTCCACTGGTCATGACAGGAAAGACAGACAGTACATACAGAACAGGTTCATTGTACCAGGGGAGTTCCCACAGCTCGTTTCAATACGTACAATGAACAGAGGACAACAGCTTGAAGTCTTGAAGAACTGCAACTCTTTCTAGTGGTGAGCCAAGACTCAAAAACTCTTGACCCTCAGGTCCAGAGGCATAGTTGCTCACCCCTAGACCACAAATGATGGGTTGCGGTCTCATTCGGGAGATCACGAATATGCAAATGAGCACATGCAAAATTGTCCCTCTTTTGTCAGATGTGCTTCTGACTTATGTACATGTGCGAACGTTTGCATCAATTGTCTGCCGGTCGTAGCGGTGCGGACCGTAGCCAAATGATGAAACACACTCCCCCCCCATGATCTATACTGATTTGTCCCCACAACCTCTTTCCTTTGACTCCACCAAAGCCTCATATCGTGACGGGTCTTTTAACTTACAGAGTTGCTATTATGCTGCGCACACAAGGCAATTTCCCAGGCTAAGGGAGAAATTATACCTTGGAACACAAGGTCACTTTTCCAAGCTATCTCTCTCCATCACAGCCAGCCCATATCAACACACAGCCACAGGAGTGCTCGTGCTTGATTACCTGGCTTTGGACTTGTCAGAGTGGATTTCTTTTGAGGACAGTGTCCACGGTGCTAGCTCATTTGTTTGATTTAAGTACCGGTGGGCAGCCAGGGGAAATTTGCCATCAGGGCTGCTAGGTGAAGTGGGACAAGGCGTCATTTGTCAATTCTATTATCCAAGTTCAAGTCCTGGATGAAGGGTACTTGAGACGTATCAATGGTGTGGTTCTAGAGGACATGGGACTTTCACACCTGTGAACAACTAATCAGGATGGATCCAGACCAAAGCATTGCAAGGTCAAGTGAAGGGAGATTTGGAATAAACCAGTACAGTTCAAATGGTTTGAAAAGGTGAAAAGCCCAAACTTTTCCAACAGTTCATGTCCTGACCATGCATGCTTGATACAGCATGTCAGCAGAACGTACTGCGCCTGCGCAGAACCCTGGATTTTCCCGTTTTTCGTTGGATTTTTGGTCAACATTGCATCAGAATTTTCACTGTTGCAGAGGATATCTTTTCTGACACAACATTTGGAAACTACGGTCGAAATGCCAACCTTATATGAGCGAATACGACCTTATATGAGACATTCTGCCGAAGTGCTATGTACAATACATTACGGGTTTCGCGCAGGTGCAGTACGTTCTGCCAATGTGCTGCTTGATACCATGTCCAGCCTTGTTTTGTTTATATCTCAGAGGGGTTCAACTTTGACACCTTACCCACAATGCATTACACAGTGCACGTGCAGTGGAAACTGTGAACCAGCTTGTATTGGATGAGTTTGGCATAATCTTGATTATTCAAAAGTATGACGTGATAAATATCAGGCACAGAATAACCCAAAAGTGTACATGAAAAGCGTACTAAATAATCAACACCAAAGGTAACTGTTACACATGATTCAGAAGTGGCTTTAATGGAAATGACTGGATTTTCAAAATTTTTTAATGACAATTTACCACATTTGTGGAAGGCCATTGACATATATGTAACAGGTGACTATCACCTTTTCAAAGATGTCAAACCTGAGACCAGACTGTAATGTTTGAACCACTCCCACTGGGAAGGTCCCCTACCCTTTTTCGTTAAGTGCGGTGGGTTCTTTAACGTGGCTGGGGTGTGGCTCTCCCAAACACGGGACCTCCATTTAACGTCCTATCCAAGGGACGTCATTAGCCGAAGCTAGGTACTCATTTTCACCTGAGTGAAGTGAAGAAAGTCGTGTAAAGTACCTTTCCCAAGGGTACAACGTCCGTGCGCATGTTCCGACTTGTTCGGGTACGACCCGGAATCGAACCCGGGTCTCCCCGTTTCATAGTCCAGTGATCTACCACTACGCCACACTTGGGTGTTTTACATCAACAGACAAACTGAGTCAACAGAGTTGTCAGAATAGCAGGAAAGCACCAGACGGCCTTCCATACTGCTTTGTGTCAGAAACAAATTGCACATGTCATCTGACCTGACAGCAAGGATTTGTATCTTGATACGTCCCCATAATGTTGATGGTATGGCCTTGCTTTGTGGCACCATAATCATAGAGGGTCGTACCAAAGCTGGGGGCTGGAGGGGTGAGATCCATCAACCTGAAGTCACATTATAACCCTAGGCTTTGATGACATCTCGGGAAAGATACGGATAATGTATGGAGGAGGAGAACAGGACATCTATCTATGCATCTTTGAATCAAACAAGGAAGAAACATCCATCCAATGCTTAGATTGGTAGTATCAAATTTCGGTCAAAGGCCACGGTATGGGAGGGCACTCACAAATCCATCATATTCCAACATCAAGATATTGGAAAGAGATGAAAAGGCAGTATGTATTGTCTCTGGGGGGGAGCTTTTCTCGTATAACACAGCTGGTGTGTGATTACTTCAGGCTTTCCAGTTTTCCTTTCGATAAATCATAATGCTTTTCTCATAGGACGACAATCTGCTATAAACAAATATTATTTTCCACCTTTTTTTTAATGTAAATATACATAAATCAAATTTTTTTCTTTCACTATGTCCCTGCTTCTTTAATTTTCACATTTGGTGACTACAACTGAAACTATCAATGACAACTTTGCAAGAAGGAACATTCTATGCACAACAGGAGGTGGATTTGGGTGCATAAATTGTGCTTCATGATTTATTTCTAATCACTTTGCGATACTCCTTCCCCGCGGGCTTGGAAAATTAATCCGCAAGTCCATTCAATTCTGCTGACTAGTGCTGTGTACTCCCATTAGACCATGTCAAATATAAAACGGGACAAAAAATCCATACGTTGTACAATACTTTTTGTCGGCTTTTGTGTCACGACATTAGATATGCTCCAACCTGCAGCCAAAAAGTTTGTAAAAAGCTCACCAAACGTCATGGTCTGACGGCTTCTCTGAGAAATTCATACGATGCCGGCATGCTTCTTAATTCTGCACCATTGATTATCCCTTTTCTGATCAAGTAGGACTTAGGATGGGCATTCAGAGGGATTTGCACTGCAGACATTATTATGCTGGCTTTTGGGCATTTCATCAAGAAGGTATCTGATATTGGAGACCATCCCCAGAACTCTCATCAGAAACTCTGGGAAAGGGCTGTTTATCAAAGTCTCGCCAACAAATATTCATTTGTTTTTAGTACGCACTTTTGAATGGGCAGTCTGCAAAATGCTGGCTGAAAACTGCAAACTGTACTGTGCATTCAATTTTGCCAGATTTCAACTTTAAGCAAAAAATGTACCTCTGATGATGGTCAACATGACAAGACAATACGACTATGTCAGTTCAGAGGTGTCTCAACACATCCACATAGTGTCACCCGGACATTTTGTTTCACTTGACACTGTAAGGATTTTAGACACTGAACAAGACTATTTCTTGAAAGGGTTGAAGGAAGCCATATACATCAGGGCCCATCACCCTACATTGAACCGCGACGGGGGCCAACATCGTCTGCCAGATACCTTTGACCCAGTGTTGACGTCACACTTCAAAGAAGCCATGTGACACGCTTCACTGGGTCAGTCTACTGAGGAAGACCAGAGTGACTGGTCGAAAGCTCTAGGCGAGAGAATTTTTTGTGTTGGACCAAAAGTTTTAACTTTAAACATGTGGGAGAGTATGTTGTGGGGTAGCTTTGAGTGGTGTTGTAAAAGTGACACAAGTGTGGTACCGTGGAGTGTACAAAGTGATAACTAGCTATTACACTAGTGTCACTTTGTTACTGAGGAGTATAAGACTTTGTGAATGTGTTTGTAATACCATGTTCTGTTGCTTCAGTTCTTATTACAAACATGTATGACGTATATGGCCTGCCTCTATTTTGACAAGTTCTTGTATGTTTTGCCCATCTTGTTCCTTCTTGTGCTCTCATATTTGGGTCTGAAGAGAATATCATCCATAAAATTTAGTTGCCGCGGCCCAACATCATCAACAGGGTGATATCAACTACCGCAGTCTCCAACACTTGATTTATAGCAATTTGCCACTTCCAAAGCACCTAGTAATACAATCTGGGCCAGGACAAATAACTGTAACTCATTTAGGAGGCACGATACCATCTCTGTAACCATGACAGTGGTTTTGATGGATAGACCTGGTCCAAAACCTCTGGGTCAATGATGTTCCAGTTGTTCAGTTCCAAGGCTGGATGAAGGAGCTTGGATGAATGCTAAGGAATCTGTTTTAACCTTAAGTACCACCAGTTGAGTAAGGATCTTACAGATGGTTATCAGAACGTCATTAATGTTAGGTTGTGGCAGTAAGGTGATGAATAGAGTCTGAATTCGCAGACTAGGTCACTGATAAAAGGGAGATAAGCTGTAGAGGTTACAGTCAAGTATTAGTTGTGGACGGAAGAGGCACAGAGTTCGAGGCATAGTGGGAGGGGTGCATAAGGGTTAGTCTATGACCCACACTGCATGGAACTCATCAAATGTCTCATCTTTCTTAAAATATGGACTCAAAACTAAAACCTAATGTATTGACGGTCCCAGCTAAGACGTTTAAATCACCAATGAGGCTTGAGGTTTCTAAGGATGTACACTTTTCTTTGAGGCAGAAAAAAACATTTTCATCACATTTTTTTTAACAGAGCGGGGTAACAATTATGAGTGGTACCAAGGCTAGTGCAATGCAGCAAAGTTCGACAATGAATTAGATTTCTCACTTGGTAGCCACAAGCCTCAAGAACCCCCCCACAAGGCTCAAAGGTCCACTTTTCATCTAAAGGTCCAAGATGGACTGATTCGTATCACCAGCGGGGCTAAAACTGTAGAAAAACTGCTTTGTCATTGAATAAAAAGTGTCTGTGGTTTTTCCTTTGAAACCCTCTCAAAAACGAAAGAAATGTCATTTCAGAAGGTTTAATTTTCAAAATTTTCGAGGGGAGCAACATGCCCGTAGCCAGGATTTTGAAAAATGAACCTTCTAAAATGGCATTTCATGCATTTTTGAGAGGATTTCCAAGAAAAAAAATCAGAGATAAATTTTTATTCAATGACAAAGGGAGCAGTTTTTCTACGATTTCAGTTCATCTTTTCAAGAAAAATCTTGGACCTTTACATAAAAAGTGGACCAAAAAGTGGACCTTTGAGCCTTGGGGGGGGGTTCTTCCGAACCCCGCGAACCCCCCCTGGCTACGGGCATGAGCAAGCCCCTGGGCCCTCCTAACCTTGCACCTATGATGCTCACTCGTCCCTCGGACAGTGGGAAGAACCTCCCCCCTTTAAAATCCTGCCTACGGGCATGGGTATACCATCCAACCATCTCACCTGCCTCTCCTTAGCTGCCACGTCCTTGACCAGGGCGCAGTCGTGTCCCTTGTGTTTGCCGTACACCTGGCAGTAGATACAGATGATCTCCTGGTCTGACAGGCAGTACACCTTCTTTGGCTCATTCTCGTGCTCATCACAGGCAAGACACTGGGAGGGGGAAAGAACAGACATTCCTATAATACATTGTGACTAGTGCTGCGTACCGGTTCACTGGACTTGGATCCGGACTTGTAAGAATGTTTAGGTTCAAGTCCAAAATAACCTAAAAGTCAAGAACCGAGTCTGGACTCATTACCATAAAAGACCATTTCACATGCCCCTTTTCTTTCCAAACCACCTAAAACCTGCTGCAAAATGAAGAAAACATTGCCATTGGGCATCGTCAAGTACCAGCCTCCATTTTATGTGGCCAAAGTTTCACCCAGACAACATTGCAAGGTTGCCAACATGCAATTTTGTATATGCCATGGGTTTAGGTCTGGACTTACAAGTCTGGAACTGAACCGAAACCTCTGGACTTGAATCCGGACCTGAACCTAAATGTGGGTTTAGGTATGCAGCACTAATTGCGACTGTTCACAACTTAAAACACTTATGTTCAACTCAAACAAAGGCAATTGACAGATGCTCAAGAGTAAAAAAAAATTGCAGGCTTATTGTGCTGTGAAGATATTCAACTAAAAAGGCAACTGACTGATGCTCAGGGTAAAAAAATAGCAGGCTTATTGTGCTTTGAAGAATGTAAATGAAGTAGTGAACAGTTCTCCAACTCAAAGAAAGTAGACTCATTGAAATTTATGACCAAATCTCTCGGTCTTCATCAGCTGTCTGACCCAAGTACTGTAGACATGATTTTTTTCCCCCACATGTGACGTCAGCACTAAGTCAAAGTTCAAGAGATTCGGTCAAAAATTACCAACTCAGATGAACTTTCATGCCAATAAATGGAGTAGTAGAAGCACTTTCAGAAGGTTTTCCATTATTTCAGAGCTTGGAATGGCGCCTCCACTCCACAGGACGGCAGCTAAGGATCCACCCACAGAATAACCCAACCAAGCGCTGCTAAATGAACTGCTTTTCCCCACAGACTCAGTTTGCACGGTTGACCATTGATTAGTCTCGGTCTACCCCGGAACCATGTTCAGGCCCAGGACTCCATGACTGATGAAAAATCTATCCCTGAATCAGTCTGACAGAGTAATCCTCCCAGCAGGAGTCAACATACTCCTTCCATACCGCTGCGGGCGACAGGCCCACACAGAAATGGGCTGCAGTCAGCTTCTGTTGTTGTCCTGCTTCTAAAAAATCACCTTTCTTGTGTGAAGCTTGCCTAGGACAACTGAATTCTCCAAGGTTGTCAATGTTCTGGGTTGTCATTCATTCAGACAACTTACTTTTGTCTTCTGACTAAAGTTCCTGTTTTCTCTCTCTAGATCATTCATGCACTGTGTGAGCCTGTGCTGATGTTGAAGTAATATTTGCCCCTGGCTCAGAGAATTCATGCATTTCTCCTGGATTGTACTCTGTACCACTCTACTGCAAGTAATGAGAGCACCCAGTTATGGCATTGAGGGAATATTTAATAATAGCATGTATTTTGCAATTCCGGGCTATAATTCCAAGCAAAACTTGAAACATTTGTGTTAAAATGTTATGTTTTTGCGTTTTTTTTTCTTCTGCGAGTTGGACAATCTATCCTGACCGAGAGCCCGCCGGCCTTTCATGTTGTTGCTTTAGGCAATTTTTCTCTCTCTACTAGATATATTCCCGACTTCAAGGCCATGCCTGGTTCAAATGAATCCATTACACTCTGACCATACAATGATGATAGGGCCTTCTCGTCGAGTTATAAACACCATTTTCCAAGCCAGGGAGCACAAATAGCCCCCGAGCTGCATCCTTCAAAGTGGTTCGTACTTCAAGAGCTTCTGACGATACACAAAGGACATTTTCTGTCATCTACCGGGGAAAAATCGATCCCTTTTGGAGGAATAATGTAGATTCACTCAACTGAGCTCCGCAAAACGCACGTCCTTCTGAACACTTCAAATGATACAGCAACTCAGAAACGTCAACTTCATCGCTTTATGTGTAAATTTGTCTTCATAACAAATTCAAAGACGTGACCCAGAGGATGTGCAGAGCTATCATACTTCATGTACGCCCTGCAATCAGATTATCTGCCAGAGAAATTGATTTTTCGCTTCTGAGCAAAGAAGCTGGCAAGGTCAACCAGCATGGACTTGCCCTCTCAAAACATTCAGTCCAATTTGAATTCAAATGTAAAATACCTTAGAAAAGTTTCGCTGTGCTATGGCGGACTTAAACTTAAAAACAGTTGAATCTGAGAAAAATGTGAATACATACTACTAGTACAGCATTAAAAAAAGTTGCATGCTATTTTGCAAAAACATGAGTAGTCTGGCTCTATCATAAAATCTTTTTGTTTCAAGCCCATAAATATGCAGTAACTTGATATGATAGAAATGCTGCTTGCATTTAAGTTAACTTGCAGCAATTACTTTAATTTATACTGTATCAATAGATTTTAATTCCTTCTATGGCTGAATGATACAGTGATGCTTGATTGCACAAAGGCCAACACAATCAACAGAATGGCACTCCAGCAATCATTGGCAGTAATCAATGTCATTAACTTTAATGAGTTGTTATACACTGTTCACTATGGAGGAACTACTTATTTCTGGCACTCAGGATAGAATCAAACAATTTATTTTGATTACATTATACCCTTTTTACTAACTAGTGAGTCATCTATCATTATTTCCTGAAATGTCTATATCTGCGTGGCATTGCAGTCAATGCAGCAATTAAATCTCCACATACATTTACACATATATCTTAACCCAGTAAATGGACCAGTGTAGGTTAGGTGCAGGTGGACATCAGAAATACCTGCACAGCTCCAATTTTACCTGCACTAACCTGCATATACCCAGTACGTGGACCAGTGCAGGTAGACATCAGAAATACCTGCACAGCTCCAATTTTGCCTGCGCTAACCTGCATATACCCAGTACATGGACCAGTGCAGGTTAGGTGCAGGTGGACATCAGAAATATCTGCACAGCTCCAATTTTACCTGCACAAACCTGCATATACCCAGTACATGGACCAGTGCAGGTTAGGTGCAGGTAGACATCAGAAATACCTACACAGCCCCAATTTTACCTGCACTAACATGCATATACCCAGTACATGGACCAGTGCAGGTTAGGTGCAGGTAGACATCACAAATACCCGCACAGCTCCAATTTTACCTGCACTAACCTGCATATACCCAGTACGTGGACCAGTGCAGGTAGACATCAGAAATACCTGCACAGCTCCAATTTTGCCTGCGCTAACCTGCATATACCCAGTACATGTACCAGTGTAGGTTAGGTGCAGGTGGACATCAGAAATACCTGCACAGCTCCAATTTTGCCTGCGCTTTTTGCCTGCGCTAACCTGCATATACCCAGTACATGGACCAGTGCAGGTAGACATCAGAAATACCTGCACAGCTCCAATTCTACCTGCACTAACCTGCATATGCCCAGTACATGGACAAGTGCAGGTAGACATCAGAAATACCTGCATAGCTCCAATTTTGCCTGCGCTAACCTGCATATACCCAGTACATGGACCAGTGCAGGTTAGGTGCAGGTGGACATCAGAAATACCTGCACAGCTCCAATTGTACCTGCACAAACCTGCATATACCCAGTACATGGACCAGTGCAGGTTAGGTGCAGGAAGACATCAGAAATACCTGCACAGCTCCAATTTCGCCTGCGCTAACCTGCATATACCCAGTACATGGACCAGTACAGGTTAGGTGTAGGTAGACATTAGAAATACCTGCACAGCTCCAATTTTACCTGCACTAACCTGCATATACCCAGTACAAGGACCAGTGCAGGTAGACATCAGAAATACCTGCACAGCTCCAATTTTACCTGCACAAACCTGCATATACCCAGTACATTGACCAGTGTAGGTAGACATCAGAAATACCTGCACAGCTCCAATTTTACCTGCACAAACCTGCATATACCCAGTACATTGACCAGTGTAGGTTAGGTGCAGGAAGACATCACAAATACCTGTCTACAACTACAACTACAACTACATGTACATGAGAAGATGTACTCACAGGTTGTATCCCCAGTGTCCGTCCATACTTGTCCTCCTCCCCAGCCAGGATCTCCAGGACCCCAAAGTTCTTGGGCAGTCTGGTGGCGTCGTTAGACAGTCCCGGGATCTTGGTGGTGGTTTTACAGGTGGGGCAGCAGATGTGGCCCCTCTGTCCATGGTTCACCAGCTTTACTAGACATTCTACAGAACACAGATATGTTACACAAAATCAGGTACACGTACAGTAGTAACTTAGTATCTCATCTAGCAGATCTTTTCAAAGTGAAGAAATTCACTAATAAGAAATTGATGGAATCCTTTATTGAAATATGTACATGCTTTGACAGATTTACGAAAAAATGTATAAAAAAAGTAAAAAAACTAAGATTATGTCAAGCATCACTTCAACTACCTACATACCAAAAATCATGACAATCCGTCATCCGGTTCTTGAGTTATCCTCCTTCGAAAAATTTTCAACAAATGCTCCTGCAGTTCCAGAACAAGCTGCTAGGGGACCCAAACTCATGCCACTTCTTCCCTATCCCAAGATCTATCTGCCATCCAAAATTCGTGACCCAAGCATGTCCAGATCACGAGATATCAAAATCGGAAGTTCTGCTGCAGTACCTAGGAAAGCTGCCAGGGGGCCCAAAATCTAATCATTTCTAGGTCTCATAAAGACCTACCCACCTACCAAGTTTCATCCCAATCCATCCACTGGTTCTCAAGTTATTTTGCTAAACCACACACAAACAAACACACACACACAGACAAACGCTACTGAAAACATAAGGCCACACCAAGTAAATTTTATGGATGACGTCCTTTGGAGACCCTAAATCTAATGCGAGAGGGCGAGAAAAAAACAAGGGCCCTAAAAAACAAGATGCCTAGATTATAAATATACTAAGAGACGACAAATGTTAGGACACAAATTGAATGAGGTGACACAGTGTAACAAGCAAGAAGTCTTTTATTCATCATCGAAACAGTAATAAATCAGGTGGAACATCAGTTGTCGTCCTGTCCTGTTTTCGTGTTATGGGTTTCACGTCAATCTGACAATTTGCGGCACTGTCGTGACTCTTTGGTCATAGTTACAGGAAGCGGAATTTCTTGGGTTTTTTTCTAGGAACAGGCCAAAATCAATGCGCGCGTGGACGTCATCCATAAAATTTACTTGGTGTGGCCTAACCTGCTTGGCGAAGGTAAAAAAAGTTATTCAGGGTCATTCACCTTCCTCAAAGGCGCAGGCATTATCATGATGATGATAATCATTTTAATGTACAAGCTTAACTGGATGATATCTGCACATGAGGAGTTTCTGAGAAGGTGAATAATTCACGTCAACAAGCTTGTGGCCTCACAGATGGGATAAGGTGTACATAACACTATGCTCTCCCCCCGCCGCCCTTTACCTGTGCAGTAGGAGTGTCCACAGCTCAGGTTCCTCGGCACGAACAGCCCGTCTCGTGAGAAGGGATGATAGCAGATGGCGCAGCAGTGTCCCCTGGGCTCGTCGATGCTCCTCACATCCAGCGTGCTCTCCAACGACAGCATATTGCAGCAAAAAAAACTCTCTCTAAAACTCTACCAACTACCGACTACGTGAACACGTCATCATGCAGGTTCTGTAAGAGAAGACAAGAGAGAATCTCGGTTAGTTAGAAATCCCGCTGGGACGAGAGAACATTGTCGTAAATCATCAATCACCATTCTCCGAATATCGCTATCATCTACGAGGTAATAACACCCTCCTGTGTGGCCATGAATAAGGTGCAACAGTGACAGCACACGCACTGGTATCACCAATTAGGATCATAGCGCATAACGCGCAACACAAATTCACCACTGGGTACTCCGAATTCCAGGTGTTAGCAGGCGATAACGGACTGACGGATACCTGAGCCATTCCTTTTGTGGGCGGGATTTAAAAACGGACCCGGCTGGTACGTTTAGCACATCCAAAATTAATGCCCAGTTGAAAATCAGATTATCCGGCCTACACTCAAAGGACCCGAGCTATTCACATCCTGGTATATACTATTCATCATGATCAGGGGAGGCTGTCCCAAGCATATATTATCATGATGTTTCAACACTTGAATGTTGTTAACTATAAGGACTGCTCCATTATGTTTGTCTGAAGAGAGAAAAATCTAAGCTTGCAACTGACTGAGAGTGTATCAATTTTGTTTCACGGTTACCTATAAAAAATATAACATGGTAGTATAATGTTTGTGCTGCTTTAATGGCCCAATAATGTTCATAAACATGTAGCCTTATATTAATGAATGTGCCAACTTGAATGCCTGAAAACATCATCTGTCATATCACATCATATCATACAATATTACAATCCCCCACTGTTTTACGCCAGTGAAAAATCGCTCTTGGGACCGAGCGCACGCCGCACGTGTACGCAACCGTGACCAGAATCCTCGTTCTCTCGGCGCGTAATTCCGCGTACAAAGGTACTTAATTGGGACGGCACAGACTGTGCTCGGTAAAGCTTACTAGAGGGGGGAGTTCATTAGGGAAGATAGTAATGCATCAGTGGGGCAATCACATCTTCCAATCAGCAGTGGTAAATGATGCATGGTACTGACGTAGAGAATCATAACATGTGGGTATGTCGTACATTGTTAGCTGGGGGATATACTCTAGAACACTTCCATCAAAGACATTCAAAATCAGGGAGTACATTAAATATTGTTTCTTCAAGATAGAAATCCGTTCACAAGTTATATGTACATATTATTAGGGAACTGATATCTGTGCATTATCTAATGAAACAGAATTGCTGGCACTCTTTTGTATATGTATAATACATTGTCAATTGCCTAGCAGGCGCAATACTGTACAATGTACAGTGTAGATTGTAATGTATTGAAGGTAGTTAGACAGTTGTGATAACTAAAGAATAGAAAACAGTTATACTGTAACAAAAATTTGAGCTGACAAATACATTTTTGTTTGGGATTTTCCATGTTACAATTATATAACATTTTTTCTAAGCAATACATTGTCCTGTTGCTTCTAACATTTTTTTTTTTTAAGTCAGAGTAACAACTAACTAATTTCGAGTTGCCTCCAAGGTTCTGACCACAATCTTAAAACGCTAGTCTGGCGTTGTTTCCCCAATGTCTGGTCTAACTGTCTTGACAATTTCCCCATCTTTACCCAGCACGCCAGCAGACTGCCAACTTTACTAATGTATGAGGCCATTACAACCGTTATGCCGCGCATGGGGACCTGTAACTAACTGGAATAACATGTTCATGTACGTGTACCTGCTGCTACTTTGATGAATAAATTATACCAAACTTTACATACACCGCTGTGGTGCTACAATAATGTACATCTCCTGTAATGCTTTCAACTTCAACACAATGAAATCATTTTATTTTCACTTCAAGAACTTCAGAGTCTTGCTGCAGGAGGGGAAATGACTTGTTACCTTTGCCAAGAAGGTTAATAAATTGTTTTCAGAGGCGTTCGTGTATGTGTGTCCGTCCTTCCTTCCTTCACGGAACACGAGAACTTGAGTAGGCTATATATTGGATGGTCTTGATACTTGGTAGGTCTTGATGAGACCTCAAAATGATTAGATTTTGGACCCCATAATGGCTTGTTATGGTACTACAGCTGAACTTCCGGTTTTGATATCCCACGGGGAACTCTAGTTTGCAATGTTTTAAAATTGTGATGTGCCAGGCAATGTTTAAAGACAGAACGTATGTTTATACCTGTTTAGGTACATATATTCATAATTATGTTATTAGTTTTTAGTAGAGATAGAACCTTAGATTAGTAAAAGTAGAACTCTATGTTAGAACCTGGTTTTATAACATTCTCCAATATCTTCTGTACCCATTATCCTTTAGCCTGGATGCCAGACCCAAAGCACACTGGACACAAAAATATCTCAGTGTGCAACACTGAGATATTTTGTGTCCAGTGTGCTTTGGGTCTGGCATCCAGGCAAATTATCCTTGTGTTTGCAATTAGCCCTCGGGCATGAACTTGCAACAATAAAGAACTAATTCACAGTGCTTTGTGCTTGCTACATGGTCATTGCGAAAACCACGAACATCAAACCACCGCAAATGTTTCCAGTTTTACAGGACTGTAATTCACTTTATGTTCACGGTAGCAAAAGTTCACGGTCGGAGAAAAATGGACATGTTCACGGAACTATATATTCACTGCGGGACAGGTGCAGGAAAAAGTCCAGGAATTATTTGTCAACTGTAATGATAAGTTCACGGTACAGGAGTGACAGTGAAAATAGTGAACATAACAGTACAGTGAAAAAAATCAGGAATTACAGTAACTATAGCTAGCGAAAATCACAGCTGCCGCCAATTACACGATACAGGACGTCAAGTGCACCTGAACAGCCTCATCACCGCGGCACGTTGCAGAAAACGCGTGCTGTGGCGACGCTGCTTGTTAATGCCCTGACCTCTGCACCGTGCACATGCCCACCATACCACCCAACATCCTCTCCTAATGCTCCACTAAATTCTTTGACCTTGGAACGTGTGAGGAGGAAATCCTCCGCACACGCACCCTCCTAGTACTAAAGAGCATGACTGTGAATAACGTTAACCTTTAAAGTTGCATTATTTAAATTGAGCATATACATTGTGCTTCAAATCTATGTTATAGTACATGTACATAATAAAGATAAGTTACATCACTGCCTTCTGTCTCTATATTGTATGAAACTGACAGCTATTCCGATTCGAAGACATCCTCATGTACCGTATACATACAATGTATCTGCCTTGTGGTCAAGATTTTGTGGTCAAGAGAGAACTTGAAAGTATTAAGCAATACAGAATTGTATTTACTTACAATTACCACTTGGAGGAGGCCTTCAGAGAAGCATTTAGATGGTGGTATAACAGCAAACGTAACGTACCGGGGGAAGACAGTCTCCCAGCTGACAAAAAGTGGCTACACCCGTCAGCAAGAGTTGACGGAGTAAACCCAATGTTAGCTAAACTAACACCAACTGCCCGTGTTTGGTAGATCCTGGCCTTCCGTCCGTCTCGAGTTACCATCGTCTTGTAGACGCAATGTTTGGGAGGTGTAATTCGACCCCGGGTAGCGGTGTCAGAGGTTTGCGGGATGACGTCTACTTGTGACTAAAGAAGGGGGCAGGTTCAACTAAATGATACAAGTGACGAGGAAAGGGCAAGGGTCACGCTGGCAAGCAAAACAAGCTCTTCCTACCTTCTAGTGACTAGCCGAGGTTGGCACTCTGGGAGTCAAACTCTACTGCTCAGGTTTCCACCACTTCTGCAGGCTGTGGAATGATACCTTAGGCCACACCAATTTAATTTCTTGGTTAACGGAATCACCCACTTCATTTTTTTCTGATTTGCAAAAAAATAAAAATTCAGATTCAACTGCAAAATGTTCATATTTTGCCCTGAACAGTTGAAAACAGTCCTTTTCATCCTAGTTGTTACAGTTATTCCATCTTTCAATGCAATGGTATCATTAAAATTTCAAAATTCATTTTAAAATTTTGAACCAGCCTGGTGTGTTGACTTCATGGCTCCTATCGCACCATTTTGGGCCACAATAGGATGCCTAGGCCTGTTTTTATTTTTATTTTTTTTCGCCCGCCCACTCCATTATTTTTCTAGAAAAATTCGTTAAACAAGAAATTAAATTGGTGTGGCTTTAAGGAGCTTTACCTTTCTACAGGCATTTTAGTTCATGGAATGAATCAGCCATGCACCATTTCGTTCTGCCAGAGCATTGTCACCAAAAAAAAAAGCTCTCGACCAACAACCAATAACTTCTAATACCACTAAATATTATAAGAATTTTCATTTTCAACATATGCCATAATCAGATATTACAAACATACCTGAAAATGATGTTTTCACCTAATAGTATTATTATTACTGTATATCTGAAAATATTATTATTATTATTATTATACATGTTTTTGTGGACTGGTAACAATATTGTTTTGACAGCAAACTTAAACCAGTGTGAAAACTCAGAACGCAAAATGAACACTCCAAGAAAATTAACCAATTTACAGTAACACCCAAGAGTCTACTGGTAGTATGAAACGGCCTGCAAGTGTCTTTCCCCAAGTGATGCTAATTGGTTGAAAAAGTCCTAGGTACAAATGGTGGTCTGTCCGTGCCAGACGGACAAACATCACGTGTACTTGGTGAATCCATCTCCAATGTGTTATCTGTCTTACATGTATCCTACACATGTATGTGTGGTCTTGTACATGTTGCTAGCAAGGGTAAGTAGTGATGCATACCGGTTCACTGGAATTGAATCCGGACTTGTAAGAATGTTTAGGTTCAAGTCCAAAAAAACCTAAAGTCAAGAACCGAGTCCGGACTTATTACCATAAAAGACCATTTCACATACCCCTTTTCTTTCCAAACCACCTAAAACCTTCCGTAGATTGCAAAATCTTTGCTGCAAAATGAAGAAAACATTGCCATCGGGCATCGTCAAGTACCGGCCTCCATGTTACGTGGCCAAAGTTTCACCCAGACAACATTGCAAGGTTGCCAACATGCAATTTTGTATATGCTATGGGTTTAGGTCCGGACTTGAACCTAAACCTCTGGACTTGAAT